TAAATGCTGACATGACATGAGGCGGAGCCCACTTTATATTAAAATTATTAATAAATTATTAAAAATATTAATTATTAAAAAAAAAAAAAACAAAACAAAACCCAGATCCCATCACCCCCACCCACCCCCAACCCCCGAAACCCCATCCCCTTCATCATCTTCATCTTCCCGTCCACCCCCCTCCCCCACAAAAACCTTCCTTCCAAACCCAGAACCCCACCCCAACCTCCCCTACAACCCCCCATTTCTCCCTCCTGAGCCTTCCACCCACCTCCCTCTCCTCCACTCTCTTCACCTTCCCTCCCATTCAAAATCTAACAAAAAAAAAAAAAAATTTCAGAAACAAATTTGAACCTAGATTGTCCACATCGTCGCAACCCACCCAACCCTTCCTTCCCCGGACCACCTTATCCTTCCTGTCGAAGTTGAACCACCTTAACTGGGTTTTTTTTTTTTTTTTTTTTTTTGTTAGATTTTGAATGGGAGGGAAGGTGAAAAGAGTGGAGGAGAATGAGATGGGTGGGAGACTCGAGAGGGAGAAATGGGGGGTTGCGGGGGAGGTGGGGGTGGGGTTCTGGGTTTGGAATGAAGGTTTTTAGTGGGGGTGGATGGGAAGATGAAGATGATGAAAGGGATGGGGTTTTGGGGGTTGGGGGGGGGGGGGGGAGGGGGGGTGGGTGGAGGTGATGGGATCTGGGTTTCAGTTTTTTTTTTTAATTTTTAATTTTTTATTAATTTTTTAATATAAAGTGGGCCTCACCTCATGCCACGTTCGCATTTAACAGAGGAATTGATAGACAACTGACGGAATGTATGATATTGCAATAAATTTGAAGATAAGGTATGATATTGAAACTTTTTAAAGACGAGGTATGAAACTGTTAATGACCTAATAGTTGAGGTAGTTCTATGTAATTTACCCAAATTTTAAACTAAATTGTGTAAATTAAATGATGTGGTTGTTGATGATTGAATTATTAATCAAGTGTCGATTAATATGCTTATTTTATATTGACGACATGTCATTTGATTTATAAATTTGATTTAAAATTTTAATTTCTCTATCTTTACCGGTATAGTACCGGCCGAAGAACCTCCGCCGCTTAGCAAACAGTGATTAAGATGTCATGTAGACATTAACAGTATTCAGAGTAGTGAATGGTAATTGCATAAAAGAAGGTAAGAGTGACTGCCCTTCTATAAAATTATGGTTGGAGATTTTTTAGACTTGGGCAAGAGATTCATGAGGTTTGTTGTGCCGTTGACACTTGCCTGGTTGTTATCGGTTTTCAGGTTAGAGAAAGATCTCCCATTAGTTATACGTATAATATTTAATAGATGTAGGTGTGACAATTTCTTACACAACTTGTTAATCTGACACGAAATGATACGAAAATAATAGGTTGCAAGTCAATTGTTAACGTATCGGGTCATTATCAGATAACTCGTTAACGTGTCTAGTCGTTATCGGATCACCCATTAAGAACCAAATAAAATATTGTTTGCCAAATCTAGACAATATTCATGACGATTTCTTACATGACCCGTTAACCGGACACAAAAGAACATGACCCCTTAACGAATCAGGCTATTATTGAGTCACTTGTTAAGAACTCGTTAAGATAACATGATTGACACAATACGATCCTTTAAGATAACGGACATGACATAAAAACGACACAAGCATAACAAATATGATCTATTTACCAAGCCTAAATATAGATGGTTGTCATGTGTCGTGACTCCCACAGTCTCACTTGTGTGGGGTTGATCTATGTGTTTTTGACCGGAGTGCTTCAATTGATCCATGAGATATGGTGTTTTAGCATGTTTCCAATGCATAGTACTTTAGCAGGTAGCAATTATTCAATAATTTTAGAGTCGATCACATACAATAATAACATCTTTTATTTGTTGATCGAATTGACATTGCAACAGGACAAGTCAAACACAGAACTTCGAATGAGACTAAAAACTCTCGTATATTCACCCCACCACCTCCCTTTCTCAAATTTTCCTTATTTCTCCAGCAATAAGGGCATCTAAATGTGTAGAAATATGAGTAGGATTTTACGAGTCACTTGTGCAACCTCAACGCCTCTCATTGGATTGGCACCAAATGAAGGGGGGATGGCTAGCTCATGCATGCATTGACTTCCACAATCGCATATACATACAGCATACAATGTACCACGTTTTAGGCTGCCGATAATAATATCGATTTTGCTGGTTTAAGTTAAGCATGTGGATGTGGTGGTGGGCGGTGCCGCACTCGTTGAACGAAAATAAATAAAATAAGGAAAAATAAATAAAATAGAAAAAAATAAAATAGAAAAAAATAAAAATAAAAAAACCTGAGAACATGATGCATGAAAATTATTTTACGGTTGACCATAAGAATGTATCATCATACATATAACCAAAGATATTGGCATTATAAGATAAAATTATAAAATAGTTCCATCAATTTGTGGTCAAGTCAGAAAGGCATCTTAGAGGTATGCAGAAGTCAAAAAGATTGATATCTCAGTGGAAAGTGAAAGAAGATAACAGAAATAAATGATGGGTGTATGAGAAGTTAAACCAACAGGATCCTTTTCGAATTATTCTGATGAGGATCTTGTAGATTTGTGAATTGTGTTTGTTAACGTATATTGTGGGAACAGTTTTTCTCAAGTATTATTTATCTTTATTTTTAAATAAAAATATTTAAAATGATTTATAATCATACAATATACGATAAACAGACAAGAATCATGAATGTTCCGGATCCTCACAAAGAGGATCGGGACACGAAGTTAAAAATAGTGTGAAAATCACTTTACTTGATTAATCGAATTAAGGCTCTGTTTGGTTTTTTTTTTTTTTTTTTTTTTAACCAAAAACTACTTCACTTTAAAGTTCAGTTATAAAAAAATATGATAAAATAAAATATCCTGCTCATTTTTAAAGCAATGACTTTTCAACAGTGACCTTTAAAAGTAGATGTAGGTTGCTTTTGCAAATTGTTTTATAAAAAGTTGAGTCGAGTTTTTAATGAATATTTTTAATTCATGTAATATGCTACTTAATGAATATTTTTAATTCATGTAATATGCTATTCATATTTGATTTTAAATAAAAATATTTAAAATAATTTATGATGACACGATATATGATAAACGTACACAATTTGAGGATCCCAAAATCCTCACAAAGAGGATCTCAAACCTCTCTAGTGGACAAAATTCAAAGAGTTGTCCACGTTTGGATAACTTCCTGAGTATTTTGTAATTACATACATGATGAACAACCCCCACGCAACCCATGACGCGCATGCTTACGAAATTATATGAGAAAACATAGTGAAAGTGAATAACATATATCATTGCTATTGAATCATTCTCTATCAATCTTTTTACAAGGTCAATTTGCTCTATGATTTTATATTCGGATGCTCTTTTGCTTTTATTTGTTTAGCGAGATTATGTTTACGGTCAAAATCATGGTGTTTTTGGAATCTATTTGCTGAGAATATAAATCCCACAGTTGAAAGTTATTGTTTTGCATAAGACTTTTTAACAAAAATAGCCCTGAGACTTGCATAACTCTTCACTTTGGTCTTTGAGATTTGAAATCAATAGAAGTAGTGTCTGAGTTTGTTCACCATCAATCATTTTGATCATTCCATGAAAAATCTCCATTAAATAAGGCTAAAATGACAAAAATACCCTCACTTTTATCAAATCATTTGGCCCATTGTTTATTAAATTGAGGGTATTTTTGTCATTTTGGTATTTATTCAATATAATTTTTCATTGAAGGACCAAAATGATTGATGGTGGACAAACTCAAGGATCATTTTTATTGATTTCAAATTTCATGGACCAAAATGATGAGTTATGTAAATTTCAGGAACCATTTTGTTTATAGTTGACATATGTAGAATATTGCTTGTACAACATATCCTTTGTTTATAGTTGAACATATCCTTTCTATTGCCAATTAACATCTTTTGTTTATAGTTGACATATGTAGAATATCACCTGTACAACATATCGTGTTTAATTATTGTTTAAATATCAAATTTTATGATAGGGAAAAACAAATTTGCACACCTTAGGACTCGTTTGATAACGACTTGGCTTTTTATTTTTGGGTTCACTAACATTTTTTTTTTAACAAACGACTTAACACTCGTTTGATAACGACTTGGCTTTTTATTTTTAGGTTCACTGACATTTTTTTTTTTAATAAACGGTATTATCTACACTAAAAGGGAGAAGGGTGGACTTAACCTTACAATGGATTAGCAATAATATGGTTCAAATTCACCTTTGATGAGAATTAAACCTAAAACCTCTCACTTACAAATAAAAAGGAATGCCACTAAATCGTAGTACCAGCAACCTATAACCATATGTTTGCAGATTCCGAAGGTTTGATAGTAACTTCAGATCCACTGCCCATTTGAAGTTGTACCCAGCAGCCTTTTACCCGGGTCCTCAATATTTCGATGGACATGGAGGTTTGCATGACTATTCTAAACGGTCGGTCAGAAAACGTTGTAAATGATCTACTTGACAACCACCTTGCACCAACTTCACAACTCCATAAACCCAGCAATAAATGACAGAAAACCAAAAGCCAAAAGCCGAAAGCAAATCATAATCAGAGCTACAGCCTACAACCGCTTCCATTCTAATAAACATAAGCATCCTAAGGAATTTTTCATCTCAGAACAACTCCATTCCAATTAGAGAAACAATTTTCTGTGGTACTCCAAAGTATTCAACTCCGTATCTTTCAACCGTTAAATTTTTGTACTTCATAAGATTATATGAAGTACAATCTCAGAGTCATATCTTATGCTTGGACTTCCTCCAATCCAAGAAAGGTGGTGCGGGGTCGCTGGGTCAGCATTGTCCAACTTGTGTTTTTTAGGGTTGCATGTGGTACGTCCGGTGAAGGATTCTACAACTTGCATTCTGCTTGTGATTTGTGAAAGTGGGCAACTTAAATGAAGATGCAAGCAATGTGCAACATAGCCAAGAGTCATATCGATCAATACAACATATTGTTATCGTTAGATTGTAAGAACATATGGCCGGCATTAATCTAGGCCGCCTTATTGCAATAATTCAGCATCAGCTAAATAAAATTAGTACTGAAAAGTGCTAGGTACTTCCAGCATTCAATTGATCACTATAAACTGCGAGAGCACCCCAAACATGAACTAACCAGATTTTTCATCCCCACCGAAAGCTGACTCCAGATAATCTGTTTGGTTGAGATGACTAACATCACCTGAGGATTTCACGGTCCATTTGCCGTCATCGTACAAGTGAAATATGTGGATCGATGCATTGCCTACTTTGCCTACAGACTTGCCATTTGCGTAACCCTTCTTGAGAAGTGTTCTGATGACCCCCCCATGGGTGACTGCAACTACTCGCTCTCCTGCAATTGAAACAAACCAGGATATAAGCATTCAAGTTGTAATTTGTGATCTAAAATTGGCAATTGTTATTGCAGCTTAGTTAGATTTGAGAGGCAAAAAGGGTCTTGATTGCATTAGAATAGTTTATACAAAAATAGTATCAACAGTCGAACTCAAAATAGCGATTCCATTCTATGACCTGAGCTACATTCAACAAGGAACTTATTAGTTTTGCTCATGGACTCATGTGACCTTAAAATGAAAAGCATATTGGAACATTCTGTTCACGAACTAACTAAACTTGATTAAAGATTTTACAGCTTCCATATCAGTAAAGATACAAATGACACCTTCCCCCGTGATACCATACCCTTGTGTTTACTGCCAATTCGCTGCAATGAAGACGTGCAGCGTTGATGAAGTTGATCAAGACTTTCTCCACCACCCTGCATGTGTAGAATAGTCATAGTGGAATAAACATAAATTTGTACTGTGATGTCCAAAGAAAATTAATGCCCCTGAGAAGAATGATTTAGGGTACCCATTATCATAATTACTTATTGGTAGATTTTTCACTCTTTCAACCATGATATAACATGCCATGTGACGCTACCCATTACTACAAAAAAACAGCAGAGTCCATAGATAACGGTCATCAACTAGACATCTATTGAATGATTAGGCAAGAAAGAACAATACTAATAAAACAATCTTAGATGTTAGGAGTCCTCTCTCTCCAAGCCAAACCAGAGACTGGAACATCAACCTCTGTTGGATGCAAAGACAGGTAGTACCAAGATTTCAGAAAGACAGTCCAAATCTAGACCTCCAGCTGCAATAGACTAGTTGTAGTGGGCAGGAGGTACCCTGTTTATACCTACATAGGATGAGCTAGGCTACAAGCCAAGCTGACAATTATAAAGCCTAATAGAGCCAAATTAAGGCACACAGACCAATTCCGTAAAATTTCTCATTGGAGTACTATTTTAGTTACAAAATTCAAAGAAGTACCAACTGTTAACGTACAAGAAGATTGCTTACCGGGATCTCTTGAAATGTCTCACGAGATACAAAGGCCTGGTGAGCCTGAGGTTTAAGCTTGGCAAGTTCATGGTATACAAGTCCTTGAAGATCACCTAAATGCCTTTCGCGTAAATCAGGATCTGTTTCAACCTGAAATTTAACCCAACAGTCTTTACATGTGATATAACGAATAAAAACACTCTCTTGACCAAATTATGCATTTGGCTTCATATTAAAAAATTGATTTATCCAATTCCAATTTTCGGTGACATGTATTTAGATGAGGTGATTACCAAGATTTTGACTCCATAATTTTACTTTATTTATTGCCAAACCACAGTAAATTTATATCATGCAGCTTCCAATTTCATATCTGTCTGTTTTTCTAGTTAGAGCATCAAGAAAACACTTGGCCCTCTATATTACATTATTTGTTACTGCAATCAAACCCGCTACTTTATGGAATCTGCTTTAGTAGATGCAACAGGGAGGTACAAAAAGACTACCTACCTTTAGCCCACCACACCTGGCTGCAATTATCTGTGCAGTCTCATAAGCTCGACTCAGATCAGAAGAATATACAAGGGAGATTTTGGGATCCTTTGATAATCTATTACCCACCTTGAGGGTGTAAACGAAAACTTTGTCAAAGATTAACAAGCAAAGCATAAGTTTAAAACCGTCATATGTATTCCTAAAATAGAGTGTACATATATAGTTTGTAACTTACTGCTGCTGCTTGCTGCCTCCCAGCATCATTTAATTCAACATCCAAATGCCCCTGCACAACATGAATTTAATTTATAGATAAGAAGAGTAAATTGCACTACTGATCCAGGAAATTTACTCATGTCTCACTGTGCTTGTCCAGTTCAGTTCACATTAGCCCTGAATTCATTTAATGTCATCAAATTCTTGGCATAATTTTTGTTATCTTTCCCATTAGAAATGAAAACATACTAGGCACCTGGCCTTGTTTATGGGGTATTTCTTTTGTCCACAGGAACCACGAGAAAAAAAAAAATAATAAGGTTCTTAGGATGGCCGGCCACTCTTTCTATAGGATTTCTTTTAGCTACAATAGCAACCCAAGCTTGGAAGCTGCCATGGAAACCAATGCCAAACTTGGCATTGCACCAATCGATACACACTTGATTTTGTTTCTCTTACTTAAAATGAAAATGAGAAATGTAGTGTGTTCCACAGGCAGCCGTCTAAAGCACCTCATTCTCTTTTCTTGTGCGGTTCCTTTGCAGTGACAGAAGTGCCTCTAAGAACGGGCGGTGCGTGTGATGCATAGCCTTTTTTTACAGGAAGGATAACGGATGTCATGCCAAGGGACGCTTTAAACCATTTAACTGAAGTTCAGGGTGGTAAAGTGACCCATTTCGAAATTTAGGAGAACTAAACACAAATACGGGTCAAAGTTCAGAGGAAAATGTTCATTAACCGCCAATGCCAATGACAAAGCCATGTACTAGCGGAAAATGTCCGTTGGGATAAAAAACAACATTATAATCCCATAACAATTTCTGATAGAATATCTACACACTGCGTCACCTGTAGTCTTGCATACTATTTTTATCTCTTAATGACTATTTGCTTAATAAGTTCAATATTATCGCAGATTCGCAAAGTAAACAAGCTGCGGAATTTAGAATTTAGAATTACGAATATGAATCACATTTTAGATTGTGCTATGAGCCTACAAGCTAACCTAAATCATGCACCCTCTACTCATCAAACAACTAACAAAACGACGCAGTTTAAGAGAAAAAGAGAACCTGGATTCTATGCTCAGCGTTCCAGGCCGTTTCGCCATGACGAACTACGATGATCTCCGCGTAATCCAAAGTCACACAGCTGCATCAAATCCATAAGATTAAAAATAACTAAAACTGAATCCAAAGCTATCACTTTTCAATTTATTACTTTTCCAGCAATCTAAGACTTGGTATACAAACCCTAATTGACCAAGTATACGATTGGAAGGAAACGGAGGATAGAGGTGCAAGGAGAATGAGAGGGAGATCGGACCTGGAATCGGCCTCCGCCATGGATGAATCGGGAACTGCCGCCACCGCCGCCGTACCGAGTCAACGCTGAGCTGCGAGCTCCGTGAGGCGCAAGGGGGTTGTGTGAGACTGAGAGGACGCATTGCATTGAATGTTAATTTACAGGATCCAAATCGACGAAGAATCTAATTCCCGGGGAAGAAAACACGGAGTCTAATTCGTTGTTGCCCGCCAACGGAAATTTATAGTTGGGCTAAGTCCAAAATGGAAACAATACATATGAACAGTAATGGGCTTTTATTGGGCTAAACTATGTTATTTTAGGAAAATAACTTTAATAATCATTTCGGTTTTAATTTTCAATTTTTGTTTGCACTTTTCAAAGAAATGAGAAAGTTAAAATAAAAATTGTTATCAAACGAGACATCAGTTTTGTCCATAGGTTTTGAAAAAAATGGCACATGAGTGATAATATATGACTTGACAATATATAACAATTTTTAGGAATTAGTTTTTGTATGTTGTCATTTCATATATAAACGTATATTTATTTTTAAGAATTATTATTGGCTCTTCAAAAACAATTTTGCACTTATCCATTATTTATTTATTTTCCATCCGTAAGGGGTGGATTATGACATTTTTGGAAGGACAATACTTCCCTCATCCCAATTAGAGAAACAATTTCAGCTACATGATAGTGTCCTAATTGATGTTGTAATATATAAAACGCGGGATTAATACTAGGCTCATCCTATCCACTGTATCGAGATTTTTTGGCCGTTTAGAAATCCAATGACTAAGACCTAATGGCCACAAATTTCTGTGTATAGGATACTCCATAGCATAGTAAAATGTTCAAACATACTGCATTTGTTATATGATAAATTATCTTATGCTTGAACTTCTTCCAATCCAAGAACCATTATCTTATGGATAAACCCTTCAAGAACTTTTGTTAAGGTTGTGGGAGAGAAACTAATAAAAATTGACTTAGAGGAAAATTATTTAATTAAACAAAATTCTTTGTTTTATTATAATAAAATGGTTAGGGCAAATGACTTTGGTTTTGATTTTTTGTTCTCATATTGGCTTTTTTTATTAGCACCGTACATAATGTTAGATACATCTCATGTTAAAATTTTAATATTAAATGACTTACATACTCTAATATGAAATGACAATTTCGACTTCATAAGGTTAAAAAAATAAAAATACAAATCTAAATACACCCCAAATTTATCTTCTTAAGTATCTCCCAAGATTATTATCTTCTTCAACTCTCAAAACCACTCTCACCCTTCAATGTAAAACAAAACTCTAACAAATAAAACTACTATGATTAGTTCAACTTCATTTTCTTTGTTGTTTAATTTTTCACCCATAATCCTTTTTGCTTTCTTGGACCATGTAAAGTGAATAGAAATCGGTCCAACCTTCACTTAATGACACTCTCCCTCGTATTGAACCATGCAAATTCTGCACTGTGAAGGTCTCGATAATGTACTTCCTCACTCAATGACACTCCTCCTCATGTGGACAATATCTTCTCAACTAACTCTTTATTGATATATAGCAAAAATAGTCAATTAGCTCTTGTAATATGAACATAAAACGTGCAAATAGGATCAAACAATTGTTGGCATCACATTGTCCAAGTATTAAGTGATGTAGGACTTTAGTATTTAGCAAGATTATGAAAAACGCTAGGCGCTATTTGAGCAGTGGGCTGGGGCTTAGCGCCTAGACAGCTTAAGCGGATTTACATAAATTTATAATGTATATTATAAAATATGGGTATATGTGTATAATTTTAGGATTTTTTTTTTTTGTTAATTTTGTAACATTTACTCACCTCATATATATTAATCATTTTTGGACTTTGCTTTTCATTTGAAAAACAATTGTACCTGGTTTCTCCCATTAAAAATAAATTTATTCCCTTGTGTTCACACATGTGGCAAAGTCAAACAAAAATCCTCTTCCTACTTTAATTTTTCACTCTTTCCATGGGACTAGAATTCTCTCCCCTCCTCTCACATTCTCTATTTTATCTTTCTCTTTCTATAAAAAAAATAATATAAGATGTTGACGTGGCTTAATCATGACCGTTCAAATAGGAGTGGAGGGAAAAAAAAGAGGGAAGAGAACCCTACTCCCTTCCCGTGAGCCCATGACACAAAAACCCAAAACAACTATTTCTCCTTTATCTCTCTCTCTCTCTCTCCCTTTCTCTCCCTTTATTTTTTATTTTTTTTTTATTTTTTTCCAGAAACCTCTAGCAAGCAGCCATAGTTTGCAATGTAGATGCCAGATGCGAGGTGTGAGATGCGAGATGCGATGCGGGAGTTGGAAACTTGGAGTTGCAGATGCGATGAGAGTTTGAGGCGGCGAGAGTTGCAGAACCTTCGATGGTGGCGAGAGTTGCAAAGCACCTTGTGCGATGGCAAGAATTTCAAATAGCCTAGAGCATCGCCTAGTGTCGTCTGGACCGCCTAGAGAGCCTAGGTGGCCGCTTAGGTCCTCGCCGATTTTTAAAATGATTTGCCCCAAATCCTAACGGGCTTCCACCGCTGAATGCCTAGGCGGCCGCTAGAATGATTTTAGAACATTGGTATTTGGTACAATATGAAGAGATAGAGAAATAGAAGAGATTCAAACTCACTCCGGTCTTTGGCATCAGACCAAAAATGTATTGGAATAAAATTAGAAAAATTCGGCATCTCACTGACCTTGAGCTTCACAATGAAGGTGCCTTGAATGAGCTTATGTATTTGCACCTAAGATGTAAAGACTATGGGGTGCACGTAGAAAATGTGTAGGTAGAAAAAGTAATGTGTTTGTTGAGAGTGTGAGGTTATGTGAGGTGTTAATATATAACAAGCTTTTCATATCGGAACGGTTCATTATCTTTATCATCATCTACAGATCATTTCTAGAAAAGTTTGCATTTGAGAACATTTAGCTATCCATATATGTAAAACAAATTGACACTTAAAATAAGTAACTATTTTCATGATAAAGCGTTAATTGTTTTGACTTGTATAAAATAAAGGAAAACTAATGAAAAGTCCAAAAAAACTTATCTTTTTATGAAAAGTCTTTTTTAAAGGTATAGTGAATAGTACTAGAAAAGTATAAATGTGATTTTTTGTTAAAAGTTAATAGTACCAGGAAGTGTTTTATTAAACCTTTCTAAAAATAAACTATTCCGAATATTATAGCAATGATCATGTTAATGTGAACGCGACGTAATCTAAGTAAAGGCCAAACACATACGGTCACCTGCAAAAGAAACTTTCCAGATCAAAAGGTGAATGTGACATAATTCAATGATAACAGGATAACAGCAATTCATCTTTCTTGGTGAGTCACAATAAATACTATCAAAATACCATAAGAAAGTGATAACTTTGGAATTATTAACACTAGCTTACTTAAAAATGTAATCCCACAACCACAAATACTGTTCACAATGAAGGTGTCTTGAATGAGCTTATGTATTTGCACTTAAGATGTAAAACTCTGGGGTGCACAGTAGAAAATGTGTAAGTAGAAAACGTAACGTGTTTTTTGAGAGTGTGAGGTTATTTGGGGTGTTAATATATAACAAGCCTTTCATATCAGAATGATTCATTATCTTTATCATCATCTACACATCATTGCTAGAAAAGTTCGCATTTGAGAACATTTAATTATCCATATATGTAAAATAAATTGACATTTATAATAAGTAACATCCTCATGATAAACCGTTAATTGCTTTGACTTGTATAAAAATAAACTATTCCGAATATTAGAGCCATGATCATGTTAATGTGAACGCGATGTAATTAAAGTAAAGGCCAAACACATACAGTCTCCTGCAAAAGAAACTTTCTAGATCAAAAGGTGAATGTGACATAATTCAATGATAACAGGATAACAACAATTCATCATTCTTGGTGAGTCACAATAAATACTATAAAATACCATAAGAAAGGGATAACTTTGGAATTATAAACACTAGCTTACTTAAAAATGTAATCCCACAACCACAAATATTGTTCAACCACGATTTTATTTATTTTTAAAAGGGGAACAATTGGTGGCGAATCACAGTTATTCATCATTTTCGGGAGCCGAAAAGACTCACAGAGGCCTCCCTAACCACAAGTATGGATTTCACATTAGCAGCATGTTTCAAACCTAAGATCTTCAGTTTTTAGTTTTAAGAAAGCCTTGTAATCTATCATTTACCACTAAACTACCAGCTCATGGTTAACGTTCAACCAGAATTAAATCAATATACATTTTACCATGAACTTCACATGCTTGATCATGTCATCTCCACTGGTCTTCTGTTAATTATTGAGACAACTAACAATCTGGCTTTTATGCGGTCGAGTGGACCCTTAGGCACAAACTTTCCCATAAAACGACACTGCTTTTAACATCTTTCAATGAATGGTACCAAATTTTTGAAGACTAATATTCATAATGTTTTCCCACACCAGCATCAGCTACTACGTGAGCGAATCTTCGAAGAAGATTAACAAAAAAAAAAAAAGAAAAAAAGAAAAAAAAAAAAATCAACTTGCACCAATATGCGTTATGGAAAATAGTAATGACACACTTTTTCTTTCCTCTTATAAACATTTTTTTTTTTTTTTAAATTCTATTTGTTGATTTTGTTGACATTGGCAGAGCCATATTAAGGGTTATCTTTGGCTATAACCTAGTAGCTTTTCATAGAAAATAAAATTGAGAATTGTTATTGGTACTTTAAAATTCTCATTCTACACTCTAAACTTTCTATATTTAGAAAGCAAAATATACTTGTGAGGAGTGTAGAATGAGATTTTTGGAGTGACAATACCACTTCCCATGTAGAATGAGATTTTTGGAGTGACAATACCACTTCCCATAAAATTTACATGTAATTTTTATTCATTTTCTAATGTAGCCCACATATATTTAGTCATTGATTGGAATTCTTTCAATTTAATTATATAATACAGTTTAAAAACATCTCTTTTTCTTACATTTTTTTCTCATCGTTTCTTGTACATTTACAAGTTTGAATTTATTTGAATAACGAAAATTCTTGGCTAACCTCGTGAAGATTTTCTTAAACTAGCTGATACTATGAAAAAACATTAATATGTTTCTTTGTTTATATAGATTTAAATCTATAAACTAGTTCACCCGATGAAAAATCCCTAGCTCTACTATTGTTTATTGAATTATTCAATTCAGAAGTTTTTAATGAAAAAAAAAAGTGTATCAGAAAAAAAAAAAAAAAAAAGAAAAAAAGATATGGGTTTATCATTTCTCTACGTCATTACAAAAACGTGGTGTTTAGGAAGATGATGTAACAACTTGGACGTCATCTGGTACTTGACAAATACATAAAGTAGCATTAATAAGTATTAATAATTAGAGATATGTTATTAGTATTCCAAAAATCTCATTCTACATTCCTCACAAGCGTATTTTTCTTTCTAATTATAGAAAATTTGGAGTGTAAAATGAGATTTTTTGGAGTGCCAATAATAATTCCTAATAATTACTACTCTTTATTTATCAATTGGATTTTATGAGGGAATTTTAACTTCTGGTATATTAGAGCAAGTTTTCTTATAAGTGAATCTTAACGGTCACACTTGCTCTACGTTATCCTATTTGTATTATTTATGTGTTAGGCTTTAAAATTCGCCTCATGTTAGAGTGCATGTGTTAAGAATAAATCGCACGTTGAGGAGAATCTTTATATAAACTTATAGGTAAGTTAAGCTGCTTTCCATATTACTAATTAATTTTATGGTAGAACCTCAATTTTTTTTTAATTCCATGCAAATTAATGAATACTAATATGTACACTTATAGAAGACTCTGACCAAACCGATTGAACTATATTGAAGGTGTTGACTAGTCGCCCAAGAGCACCAACACATTATTGGCCGCCATGGCTGCTACCAGTAAGAAGGGTGCTTGGGTTCTTGCTATAAATAGCATACTCGATCTGTGTACACTTCACACAACAAGCTTCCTTCACAATCACAATTGCTCATATTATATCTAAGCGACAGAGAAGGTCTGATTTTTCACAAAAATATTTCGATTTCGACAAGATCTTTAATTCGAGTTATAACAATGTCGACTGGTTTGACAAAGAGAAGGATGGTGACAGTACTAAGCATTGATGGTGGTGGCATTAGAGGCATAATTCCCAGCACCCTCCTCGCCTTTCTTGAATCCAAGCTTCAGGTACTTTACGATTCTGCTCGATAGCCATTTCAATTGTCAGTTTTTATTTTCAGTTACGGTCATACAATATTGTGAGCGTCATTAATTTGTGCATATGGTATAGGAATTGGATGGGCCTGCTGCAAGAATCGCAGATTATTTTGACATAATTGCCGGAACAAGCACCGGTGGTCTTGTCACCACCATGCTTGCAGCTCCTAACAAAGACAACCGACCCATGTACGAAGCAAAGGACATCAACAACTTCTATTTGGATCACACCCCAAAGATTTTCCCTCAGAATAGGTTCGTGTTCTATAACAACTTAACACAAAATTGTTTCGTATCAATTTACAGTATTGTAGTACGTAGGACGTAGCAAGTACGGATTTGGTAATGTCACAACACATGATCCCGCGTATCCGAACAAATCAATCAGCTCACTCAAATCGACTTACTAGACATTAATGGGGACATACATACATACATACATACATACATATATATATAAACATAGGTTAACTAGTTCTAATATAAATTTATTTGAAATTTGCAGTCGTAATAACTTCTTGACATCACTAACAAGTATGGTTGGTGCTGTCATGGGACCAAAATATGATGGAGAGTACCTGCGAACATTGACGAAGGAGCTGCTTGGCGACCTCACTCTTAAACAAACCCTAACCACTGTGATTATTCCAACTTTTGATATTAAGCACCTTCAGCCTGTGCTCTTCTCAACCATCGATGTAAGACAGCAACAATGAATAAGCCGTAATTTTACTCAATTTTTGGGGATTGCTGTTGCTACTTGTGTAGGTATTCTTATATAGTTTTAAATCCATGGCACAGGCAAAAGAAAGTCCATTGAAAAATGCTAAGCTTTCGGATATCTGCATCAGTACCTCTGCTGCTCCCACTTTTCTCCCCGCTCATTACTTCGAGGTCAATGATAACGAGGGAAGAACCCGAACTTTTGATCTCATCGATGGTGGGGTTGCTGCCAACAATCCTGTATGTACTTAATTTGATAATCTACCCTCAATTGATATGCATTTTAATCATAAGTTATGAAAATAACATGTTAGACTGTCAGAAAAAAAATTAGAAACTAATTACTGCACTAAGGAAATTAATTCAATCTACGGTCATATGCAGACGATGACGGCCATAAGCCACATAAACAGAGAGATATTGAAGCATAACTCAGAGCCGATGGATGCTACCAGGTTGCTAGTGCTATCATTGGGCACAGGCGCAGCCAAGAATGAAGCGAAGTACAACGCAGCCAACGCCTCCAAATGGGGTTTGATCAATTGGGTCTTTGACAATGGGAGCACACCTTTGGTAGACATTTTCGGGGATGCAAGTTCCGACATGGTTGATTTTCATGTCTCCACCCTCTTCCAATCCGTTCACGCCAAGGACAACTATCTTCGTATTCAGGTACATTTTATAAGCGGTTCATGATCTTCGTCAAATATATTTGTACTGTGGTCAGTAAATATGGTATAAAAGCAACTTTTAAATTTTATGGTTGCAAGCATGATCATGCTAATTCTTTCCTAATGTGTAAAAATTATAGGATGACACGTTGATTGGTGAGGAGGCATCAGTGGACATTGCAACGGAGAAAAATCTGAAAAGGCTTGTTGAAATCGGAAAGGTGTTGTTGAAGAAGCCGGTGTCACGGGTGAATTTGGATACCGGAAGGTATGAGGAATCCAAGGGAGAAGGTACCTATGAAGAAGCACTGATTGAGTTTGCCAAAAGGCTCTCGGAAGGAAAGAAGCTTAGGCAAAACAGTTAACTGAAAGTGCAAAAGATTGCAATATGATTATATCTTATTAAACTTTGTTGTTTACTTTGTGATGATCATGTTCATCAATTCCACTGTGAATCTTGATTGAAAAATAAAGAATATTGAATAAGAAATTGGAGTTTTGGGATCAAATCTGTTGATGATTTTGAATGGGATGATCTGTATTACTTGTCTTTGTTTGGAACATCCAACATGCTAAATAGATAAGTGCATATATATTACGATTCAATAAACTTTGGGTAAGGACCAACCGACAAGGACCTCAACTTATCCTATATGTATATGATTATATCATCATAGATTCCCCTTACAATGCCAACTACCGCTCGTCACTACTTGATTAAAGGTATTATGTCACATCCCAGCTTGGTACCCCATCACACTCCAGGATTCGACTTTGTCGTAGCACGATATTGTCTGCTTTGGGCCCCGACCACGTCCTCACAGTTTTGTTTATGGAAACTCAGACGAGAACTTCCCAATGAGTCACCTATCTTGGGTTTGCTCTCGCGCAAACTCACTTAAATTCGGAATTCCTACGGAACCCAAAGCCAATGAGCTCCTAAAAGGCCTCGTGCTAGGTAGAGATGAGAATATACATATAAGTCTTACATGATCCACTCCCCTGGGCAATGTGAGATCTTACAATCCACTCCCCTTAGGGGCCCGACGTCCTCGTCGGCACACATCTGGCCAGGGATTGGCTCTGATACCAAATTGTCAGATCCCGGCATGGGCCCCCACCACATCCCGGGCTCGACTCCGCTGTAGCATGATATTGTCCGCTTTGGGCCTCGACCATGCCTTCACGGTTTTGTTACTGGGAACTCACATGAGAACTTCCCAGTGGGTCACCCATCCTGGGATTGCTCTCGCGCGGAGTTCCTATGGAACCTGAAGCCAGTGAGCTCCCAAAAGGCCTCGTGGTAGGTAGAGATGAGAATATACATATAAGGCTTACATGATCCACTCCCTTGGGTGATGTGAGATCTTACATATTATGGGATGTGGACAAATAAGTTTCTGAAAATCAACTTATATATGAAATGGCCAATGGCTGCATTATCGGACAAATGCGACACCTATAAAATTATAATTTCTATAAATTCGCACATCCACAAAGATTAAGACACGATTAAATATTTAAAAACTAATTTTCATAACCTGAAAATTTTTGTTCTTAATTGGGAGAAATAGAGACTTATTGTGGATATCTTCGATCGTCGACGATGAGAGTAGAAAAAAAGAAAGAAGATTTGGATATGGGGGAGAAGAAGTTTTGGAATTTGGAGGAGAAAAAAAAAAACGTTGGGAATTGGAGAAGAAGATGAGGAAGAGAGGAAATGAGGAGAGAAAGGTGCAGATCTGGGATTTTAATGAATCGTAAGAATCCTTGCGCGACAAAGCCTTCGTCATCTAAAGTTCCATCTTTGTCGCCTTTCTTTTTTACCATTATTGTCTCACAAACCTTTTCAAAGACCTTGTGCGACGAAGCCTAAAAGTAGTTCTCGTGCACTTATTCAAGGGCAACAGAGTGCTTTGTCGCGCAATAAATTTGTTTGCCAAGCAAAAAATGACGCCAAATTCTTATTTTACCACAAAATTTTTCATAGTTTGCGCGACAAATAGTTTAGACATCCATTGCGCTACAAAACTCTTCATCACTCAAAGTTTTGTTTATTTATTTTTTTTGCCATGAACATTTGCCGCAACAACACACATTGTTTGCCACGCAAAGCATACTTGGACAACGAATAACATAAGTGGTCGCCTTCATAAGGGTAAGGTTTCAGCGCAAAAAGATTACGCCCCCTATCTTTATCTCTCTAACCGGAGCCTTCCTATAGAGTTATATCCATTCCCTTGCCTTGCCCCCCATTGAGAAATAGAACTGACTAATCCTAAGGCAAGCAGTCCGAGAAACTCAACGTCCACTATTCTTGAACAACTTGGAGTTGGGCCTTCTTTTCACACTATTATGGATACAAAAATAATGGGAAAAATTGAATTCAATTGTCAACTGTTCCTATCAAAATCGGAAATTGGATTGATTATGGGAAAAATTGAATTCAATTGTCAACCGTTTCTATCAGAATCGAAAATAGGATTGACTATGGATTCGAGCTGTAGCACATAGTGAAGTCCGTTAGAATTCAAGTTTCTGATCATACCCAATTGTTACTTTTATTTCTACTTGTTGGATATGATCAGACAAATTCGTACAATATATATGCTCCCTTCCAGAAACGAGATTTACAGAAAAAATTGCTCAAAGCACGCACCGTGGCGAATATGTTAAAAACAAGTTTCGGATGCCAATCATTTCTTATGGTTTTCATTTGCCCTAACCTACCATTCAACTCTTCAGTGTTTGCATTGAATATAATTAAGGGCCAATAATAGAATGAGTTATTCAAACACGAACAGATTTTTGAAAAAAAAAGAAAAAAATCAAATACGAACAGATAAAATAACATAATTAATTTTAAAATTTTAGAAATCAAATTATGTGATATCGGGCAAAAGATCCAGTATCTTAGATGTAAGATATGTATTAGATTCAGATCGATCCGAATACTGACAGATGAACGCACTCACAGGATTGACATCAAACGTCACGTGTATTTTCACACAAAAGGGTAGAATTCCCCCATTTTTTCTTTCCAGTAAAATGCTGGTTGAATGCAATGTCCCGGATTCTGTTATAAAATTCATGACGGGAAAAAAATCGACTTGATTAAATTTATTTAGGCAATACAAAATCAATTAAATAATTAGGTATTTTGATACAACCATCACAACTTTGGTGCTTTATCTGGAAAAATTGTAATCTATCAATACATGTGATGAGTTCATTTTTGCTCAATGGGATTTTAATATTTCAGGAAGTTATAAACAGGTCATATTGGCCTTAGTCTCTAATCTATATATCATATTTATCAATAACCTTTGAAGCTATAGTTTTTTTTGTATTTTTAGGATTGATTGTGAATGGATTTGAACGTATGTTCTTGAATTTGATGTTTAATTTGTCTATAGTATTTTCCCGATGAGTCAGGAAAAATGGCAAGGGTGTAACAAGCATTACCCCAGCAATACAAAGCATGCAAGAAGCTCCTGTATAATTTTGAAGAGTTGAAGCGATTAAACTATTCTCCACGTTCGAACATCAACTAGGATTAATTAAGAAATAAAAACTAAAATAAAAGGCATAAACTAGGCATCATCTGCAGTACACCACCAATAATGCATAAATATTGCGTTATAGTTTTATGTGAGAGAGATCAGTAACCTTGGGTTGGAACGTCGTGTCTCGTTGACATACGAGGTTGAAACGACAAAATAACATGAAGTATTACATCATTATTTAATTAATTACGTACCTATCAACCAAGTGATCGATCATGATTGGAAGTAATGATCTAAATTAGTCCCCATGCAACTAAAGCGTGAAGAGCATGGTATGTAGAAAGACTTTTTTTTTCAATAGAAATGTCTCGAAGATGTTGACCACATTATTAAAGGCGTGGCCTAGCAAAATATAGATGGCCATGGGGTTTTTACTATAAATTAACACAAGAAGTAAACTGTTTACACAATCATAATTCATATCTAGCTGATTACTGATATTAATTTTACTAAATCTGAATCTGAAAATGTCCACTTGTATGACAAAGAGAAAGACAGTGACAGTTCTAAGCATCGATGGAGGTGGCATTAAAGGTCTAATTCCCAGCACCCTCCTCGCTTTTCTTGAATCCAAGCTTCAGGTACTTTACATGTATGTTTGATAACCGTTTCAGTTTTCAGTTTTTAGTTACTGGCTTATAATCTTGTGTAATTATCTGTGCATATGGAGTAGGATTTGGATGGGCCTGATGCAAGAATTGCAGATTATTTCAACATAATTGCTGGAACAAGCACCGGTGGTCTTATCACCACCATGCTTACAGCTCCCAACAAAGACAATCGGCCCATGTACCAAGCAAAGGACATCACCACCTTCTATTTAAATCACTGCCCTAAGATTTTCCCTCAGAACAGGTCAGTGAGATCTATGTATAACAACTTAACAAACCAAGGGAAAAGATTGTTACCGGGTAACATGTAAAAGGTTATTACATACTTGGTACTCAACACCAACGATACCTATAACAGCATATTAGTCGTCACCCATTTCGATTGGTTTTAGGTTGAATATTCACATTTAACTAGTACCAGGGTATACTTATGTGTCAACCACATGTCTCTCGTGTTAACCAATGCCAGTTAAAAAGTGTGTTATAGGCTCAAAGATGCCACGCGTGAAGTGATGGTTCACGTTGGGAGCGTGATCACACTTTGGAGAACGGAGTTCTTGCATTTCCAGTGCTTAAAAGATTTTCAACCTTTCAGTTTGCTAGTTGGTTTTGAGTCTCACATAAATTCATATATTAATTTTTCTTGATTAGTGTAAATTTATAATCTGGAATCTGCAGAGGAAAAAACTTGTTGACATCAATAAAAAGTTTGGTTGGTGCTGTCATGGGGCCAAAATATGACGGCAAGTACCTGCGCACATTGTTGAGTGGTCTGCTTGGTGACCTCACTCTCAAAGACACTCTAACTAATGTGCTTATTCCATCTTTCGATATCAAGTACCTTCAGCCTGTCGTCTTCTCCACCATTGATGTAAGTTTACATTTTGCACCAGTATTCAGGTCCAGCTTTTGTGCTACGTAGACATAATGTTACTAATTAAGTGTTTGAACTGTTAGATTTGATTTTTTTACAACTGTTTGCTTTTTATTTTCAATCTAAGTCATTTATTTTTCGCACGACTTAGTGGTATGGACCAGTTGAAGAAAAATTGTTTACTATATATAGTTTAGCAACCTAGTTATGTTTTCTTATAGTGAGGTGTAAATTTTTGGTATAGGCAAAAGATCATCCTTTGAAAAATGCTAAGCTCTCGGATACCTGTGTAAGTACCTCTGCTGCTCCTACCTATCTCCCTGCACACTACTTCAACGTCAAGGATGACGAGGGAAGGACTCGCACTTTTGATCTCGTTGATGGAGGGGTTGCTGCAAACAATCCTGTAAGTAGTTATCTATTTTCTAGTCAGATACAAATTACATGTTTTAAGATCAATAAATTGATTAAGTAAGCTAACATGTGTGAATGTCTAACAAAACCAACATATATAAGCTATTCAGTTTTTTTTCAAAACAGCTTATCAGTTTTTTAAATCTGCTAAGTTAATCCATAATCATCAATCATGTATAGACAATGATGGCCATAAGTCACATAAATAGAGAGATGTTGAGGAAAGGCTCGGATCCGATGGATGCGAAGAGGTTGTTAGTGCTATCGTTGGGCACAGGCACCGCCAAGTTCGAAGAGAAGTACAATGCAGCCACGGCCTCCAAATGGGGTTTGATCAATTGGGTCTTGCACAATGGGAACACACCTCTGGTAGACATTTTCAGCGATGCGAGTTCTGATATGGTTGACATTCATGTGTCCACCCTCTTCCAATGCGTCCACGCCAAGCACAACTATCTACGTATTCAGGTACATTAATTTTAACGTGGTACATGCCATCTCCATTAAGGTTATGCAGCAAGTAAATATGGTTAAAACAACAACATTTTGAAATTTGATGTTTGATTTTACGGTTGCAAGCATGATGATGCTAATAATTTCTTAATGCTGCAACAATTATAGGATGACTCATTGACCGGTGATGAAGCATCAGTAGATATAGCAACGGAGAAGAATCTTATGAGGCTTATAGAGATCGGGAATGCGTTGTTGAAGAAGCCAGTTTCACGGGTGCAGTTGGATACCGGAAGGTATGAGAAACCTGAGGGAGAAGAGGGTACCTATGAAGAAGCACTGATCGATTTTGCCAAAAGGTTATCAGAAGTAAAGAAGACTGCAGTATAGAGATTGCAGATGTTAATAATTTGTTTTTATGTTTGTCACGTTCATCAACTCAACTGTGAATCCTTGATAAAAAAATAAAGAATAGTCTTGTTTATTGGAGTTTTAGCATCACATCAACCGATGGTTTTGATTGGGATATAAAGGGCGACTTCTCTAATGAAGAGTCCAACATATACCAAATTATGATTACTTCATCATGTGACTTAGCTCGAATGTTTTCCCGATTCTTTGATTAAGAAATATATTAAACTCCTCGATAGTTGTGTTAAATTTTAGTCATCAAATAATTAGCTTGATGGTATTATGGAAAAAGGGCTTGATATGGCATCTTAATTGTTAAATATAAATGAGATTCAGAATTATAAACAGATAAAAATAAATTTTTTGGGTAAACCACAAAGTGCTATCATGGGAAATGACAGTGAGGTAATTTTATTAAATAGGATAGAATATAACCTGTCAAGGGGGGATACAAAGCCTAACCTTAACCATACTAATAGTCATAACAAACAAAATCTCCAAAAGCCAATATAAGATATAACAAGGCCAACAAAAGATAATATATCTAAATCGGTAGTGTAGAAACCCTACATAATCATGATTATAATACAACAAATAAAATCAGGAAGAGAATCATACCAAACAAGACCAATAGAAGAGGAAACATAATATGCAAAGGCATCGGCAACTTGATTACCTTCCGCATAAATGTCAGAAGATCGGAAATGCATTTGAGAAATTCTATGCAAGCAATTCCTCCACTCCACCCTTAATTGCCAAGGACCCAATTGTGGATTGCGCAAGAAGTCAAGAAACAAAGCAGAATCGACTTCCAACCAAATAAACTTTCAAACCCAAACTGAAAGCAATGGGCAAAAGAATAAGTACGATACGGATATAAGACTCAAGCAGTGGGCAAAAGAATAAGTATGCGATAATTGTGTTACTAGAGATGAATCCTAAAAGAGTGTATTTATACTAGTTGAGGATGAGACCTTTTAAGATAATAGAATTCTTATTAAACAAACAGAATCCTAGAGGATATCTAGGGATCGATATTGCATTTACTTAGGAATGTGATTACTTGCGGCGCAAGCAAAGTCTTAGATTTTAAGGACTCCAAGATTATAGGAAACTTGCTGATTCCTTCCTAGATAGGTTTCCGTATTTTGCGGAACAAACATAGTCAATCTTAGCAAAGTCGTTGGACTTCACCTCTGATTAAGGAACTGTATGATAGTGGCATCGCTGCTCCGCTTATTCAGCTCCGCTGCGGAGGCTGTCAAGTCCATGACCGAACTTCTAACGTATTTCGATCCGCCTTACTCCGACATTGGAAAATCATGGTCCAACAAAGGCAGTGCGGCGTTTTCTAGTAGCATAGGCCGCCTTGAACGACCGTGACGCTGATGTCCAGCACATTTTCCATCATTTACATCCATATCAAATTTTGGCCTTGTCGCGCAAACTTGTAGCTGTAGACATGCAAAAGCAGCGACTGATCATTGCCCCACATTCCCACAATGGTAGCAATAATCCGGCATATCTTCATATTCTAACCCAATTTCTATTGATTCTCCACTGCTACGTATGCTTGATCAACAACTGCAAAGGTGGGTTGGTCCGTAGATAAATCTACATCAACCAAAACGCCAGCAAAAAGTCCAAATTTCCTTTCGAAAGTGTTAACATCAGTCTTACGGGCACTCCAATGCCACTGGCCACTTCGAAGAGAGTTCTTGGCTCCCAAAATTCCAAACCAAGATCCCAGAAACGTACCCAAACCAAACATTTGCGTTGATATTCCCTTGGTTCGCTGGGGAAACTTCGGTGACCACCATGGTTGTGGGTTGCAAGTTGTGAAAGTCCCCCAACCTCTGTTTTCCAAAAAAAAAAAAAAAAAAAAAAAACACTTGTGGGTTACAAGTTGAATGCAAATTCAATCATTATTCACGACTGAAAAAAAATTGTTTAAACTCAAATTTTCCAGACTATACAAAGAAAGGGATATTGATTCATTTTATCAGTCAGTGCCCTTGTGATTAATTATAAACCAGTTATTTGTATATTATAGTATAGGAAGATGACGATGTTAATTAATTAGAAGCATATATATAATATATAGATCAGGTTGATCGATCATTATTAGGCGTATTGGTCTTCCATTAATTATTTTTGAAAACTAACTTATCGACACAATTGTAGGATTAAGCAGCTTTCCGAGAAAAGAGATCGATGGTTTACCAACTCTCAACAAATTGTTTTAATACAAAACATGCATGAAACCCTAGCTGTACTATAATGTTTTGAAGACTTTGAAGTCATGATAACAACTTCTTCATATGTAGCTTCAACCAGCTTGCACGCTTATTTATTTTTATTTATTTAATTTTTTTTTTTATAAAGACATCAAATTGCAATATTTTTGTATAAAGACATCAACTTGCAAGAGTAAAAAGAATAATTATGTACTGAGATAATGGTTTCTTGGAAGCTAATAACATATTCAACTGGCCATGACAATGAACCAATTAAATCTTCTGTGTCACAATAACATTGTCTCATGTGAGATTACAGTTGCCTTGATTTGTTCACTTTGCAAAGCTTGCCTTAAAGCTTTTGGGTTAGTAAGTTTCCCCATCCATCATAGTTGGTAGCTAATAACCAAATGTATATAACAAAATGAAAGAACCAGACACTATCTGATAATATTATCAATTTACTCATATTAAATAAATTTATGATCTTTAGATAAACTGAATTTAGAGTTTAACCGTTGATGTCTATTTTTCTTTCTTGAAGGCTATATACATAGAGATTACAAGTTGACTGGGTATACAAGAATCCTTTGTAGTAAGAAGAGGGTAATATTAGGAAAACAAAATTTGTAGATAAAATTTTGGAAACTAAAGAACTTGAAAGTTGATTGTTGATTTATTACTTAATCGTTGATAAACGTACTCATTCTTATCAGTGACCGTAACAATTACAAGGGTTAGCTCACACCGGCCAAACATGGTAATAACTAATAACATTAGAAAATTCTCCCTTAGTCAGGAAAATTTTCCTTGTTCTGGGAACTTCGCCTCATGCATGACAGATGGAATACCGAACCAACAAGCATATGACACGTGGCTATATGCTTTTACACATAATTTTTTTTTTCTTGCTCTTTTTATTGAAAATTAATTCATTCTTTATTATTTTTATTAAAATTTATTCTGAAACTTCATCTTCTTCGACTTTTAATCATCGTTGAAATTGGCTACTGGCACCTTAACATTCACGGTCTGATTTGAACTTAAACACTCCACCATTTTCTTCACCGTCAATCCCAATTCCGTCGGCTGTGCAATCCCCCAACATCGACACCTTCAGAGCCTCCATCGCCTAATCAACGACGAGATCTTGTCGTCCATCAACTTCCCCACCCTCCTCACCAGCCTAAAACGGACAGCACCGGATCGCCTCGCCCTTCACAGCCTTCATCTTGCTCACATGCTCTCTGTCAAGTCCTCGGTCGAGTTGTCTACCATGCGCAACACCAACAAGGGCTTGAACCCGGCAAAGAAAAAGGATTTTGTATGTTTAGGAGTTGGGCGAATCTGCAATCTACCATGAAAGAAGATGAACAGATTGAGAAATTAATGGAGAAACTTTTTTTTTCTTTTTCCCACAGATGATTTTATTAATAGACTTATCTCGAACAAAACAAAAAGAAGGCATGAAATTTAATAAAAAACAGATTTGCCACATGTCAGATATTTATTGGGTGGGTACTCCAGCTGTCTCACGCACCGTGTACTCGGGAAAATTTCTCCCATTAGTCAGTCATGCGGTTGACGACAAAACCCAAGTCTTTAATTAAAAGTTAAACCCTCATGAACTTTAATAAAGAGGATTAAAACGAGCAGACATTAGACATTGACCAAACCATGACTGACTGAATCCAAGTCATCCTAGCCACCTAAGAGCACCTAACATACAGTCAGAAAGGATGGACCGCGCGCCATGGCTGGTATTTATGGAATAACATAAAAATATTGCAACAGGGTTCTTGCTATAAAAAGGCATAAATGAGCTGTTGTAAGCTTCAGAATTTAACCGTTTTTCACAATCATATATAGTTCATATATATTGCAATAATGTCGACTGGTTTGGCAAAGAGAAAGATGGTGACAGTGCTAAGCATCGATGGAGGTGGCATTCGGGGCATAATTCCCGGTACCCTCCTAGCCTTTCTTGAATCCAAGCTTCAGGTACGTATAGAGCACAATATTTACATACGCATATTTATATTAGCATGGAGAACTCAAAGCGCTAATTGGCTAGTAAGTTAATACGGTGCTAATTATTTGTTTCAAGGGACTTGATAACATCATTTCATGATTCATACCACTTAGTGCTTGCGCTTCTATATATATTAGAAGCCTTCACTTCTTGTCTTCCATACTTAACATATAATTTAGTGTTATGATTTTTTTTCATGCAATATAGCAACTGGATGGCCCCAGTGCAAGAATTGCAGATTATTTCGACATAATTGCCGGAACAAGCACCGGCGGCCTTGTCACCACCATGCTTACAGCTCCCAACAAAGACAATCGACCCATGTACGAAGCAAAGGACATCAACAACTTCTACTTAGATCACACTCCTAAGATTTTCCCTCAAAAAAGGTTATCATTTCGAAATTTTATCTCCGTTAATTATAAGACACGTTTACAGTTAAAAGCTCATAAAACAGAGAATTTATGTAAACTACTGGACAAGGATCCGAATTTGGGTGCAAAGAGAGCATACTGCTCTATCCAACTTGGTCAAGCCAAAATCTCCGAGTAAAAATATATTAATATTGCTAATTTGTCTGATGTTTGCAGTCGGAATGACTTCATGACATCAATAACAAGCATGGTTGGTGCGGTGAAGGGGCCAAAATATGATGGGAAGTACCTGCGGGCATTGACGAAAGGGCTGCTTGGTGACCTCACTCTCAAACAAACCCTAACCAATGTGGTTATTCCAGCTTTTGATATCAATTACCTTCAGCCTGTGATCTTCTCAACCATCGATGTATGATGAAAAATATTTTGTGGCCTCAAACAATAGCCGAAGCCATGATTTTACTCAAATTATTTTGGGATTACATTTTGTTATTTAATTCTACTGTCTTATTATGTGCTAATTATGTATCCTCTTACATTATGGTACAGGCAAAAGAAAAAAGTGAAAAAAATGCTAAGCTTTCGGATATCTGCGTCAGTACCTCTGCTGCTCCCACCTTTCTCCCGGCACATTACTTCGAGGTCAAGGATAACGAGGGAAAAACTCGACCATTTAATCTTGTCGATGGTGGTGTTGCTGCAAACAATCCTGTAAGTACAGTTTAATGTTCTCTTACGAGATAAGTGAACTTATATAGGAACATAGCGTGTCAGACTGTTTGACAAAAGAACGTAGGTACATTTGATTTTGGATCAATTGCAATGAACTATGGAATTAATTATTTCAATGTACACAGACGATGATGGCCATAAGCCATATCAACAGAGAGATGTTGAAGAACAATTCGGAGCCAATGTACGCAACGAGGTTGCAAGTGTTATCGTTGGGCACCGGCTCAGCCAAACATGAAGGGAAGTACGATGCAGCTAGGGCTTCCAGATGGGGTTTGCTCAATTGGATGTTTGACAATGGGAGCACACCTTTGGTAGACATTTTTGGTGATGCAAGTTGTGATATGGTTGACTTTCATGTGTCCACCCTCTTCGACTCCCTTCAGGTCAAGGACAACTATCTACGTATTCAGGTACTATTTGGACCCCGTTCGCTAATTATTTTACTGACCACATCTCTAATAGAGGTAGCACATCTAATGTAGTTATCAAAGCGACCAGTAAATTTGGTACAACTAGCATTATGTTAACTTTGTGTTGTGAAAATTATAGGAAGACTCATTGACCGGCGACGAAGCATCGGTTGATGTAGCGACTGAGAAGAATCTAAGGAGGCTTGTGGAGATTGGGGAGGCACTATTGAAGAAGCAAGTGTCACGAGTGCAATTCGATACTGGAAGGTATAAGACATCGGAGGGAGAGGGTACCTACGAAGACGCATTAACCGTTTTTGCTAAAACGCTCTCGGAGGGAAGGAAGCTCAATAAAACAACTCAAAGTCCAATAGAAATAGCAATATCTAATTAATTTTACTTTGAGTAATTCACAATTTGTCATTTTAGGTTTTCGTTCAATTTCAATGTTTACGTCTTTCAATTTTATACAATAACTCAATATTTCATATCAATGTGATACAACCGTCTCTTTTCTCTTTAATTCCTCGGTTAACAACTTATGTGGTTATAGCAAGCCCTACAAAATTCGTGCCCTGTAGATTAAACAAAAATTTAAAAATAAATTTCATTATTAAAGAAATAAATTTGAGCCACTTGATATTACGGTCTAGTAATATTCATCTTTACTTATAAGTTAGATGTATTATATTCGATTCTCGCCAAAGACGAATTTGAATCATATTATTGTTGACCTAATGTTAACGCATTCGATCTCTTCTTCAACGTCGTGACGAGCAACTCTGCCACCAATTACAATCCAGAAATTTAAATTAAAAAAAAAAAAAACTTTTGTTTGGCGCAATTTTTTCTTAAAATTTATCGATTCGAATCCAACTCTCTTCTACTTCCCAAAAAATGGCGTGTTCCGCCTCTGGCACCGCCACCAACGTCATGCTCGCCATCTTCAAGAAGAAGACGACCCAAATCGACTTCTACTGCTCCCTTTTCAACTACAATATCGCCTTCAACTACTCCGAGCGAGAAGCCCAGAACTTCAAATACCCACATTTGACATCCCCGGAGGCACCTGCACCCTTTAACGTTGTTGTTGCATCTGCCCCCAAACCCGACTGGCTGTTATCTGGCCGATCAAAAACCACCACAGTACAAACACGCGTGACTCCTCTGCTTGAACCGTGGTCGTCTTCAACCTGGAGACCGCCATTCTCTACTGCTCCGTTGTTGTACCAGTTGTTTGCCGTTATTGACCAATGTGCCGACCAGCTGCGGGTCACCCGCATTGAAACCCATAAATCCTACGAAGTCGGCTGATATAATTTCATCTGCTTTTTTTTTTTTTTTTTTCCCTTTAAGAAGAAATTCTATGGTTTTGAAATCATCATTAAGTGAAGTGACACTATCAAATGATTAGGTGAAAGTTAACTAGTTGATTAGGTGAACTGACATTTGTAAATGATATATGGAGGCAGATTCTTTGCCCTCGCACTTCACGTGCCCTACTGTGTCTTCCTGTTTTGTATGGTCATGGTTAAATCATGTTAATATCTTATATTGTTTTTTTTTTAATAGAGATAATAAGACAAAAATGAATAGTAATATAAAATGTTGACGTGACTTAACCGTAACCATACAAACAGGAGGGCACAGGAAGTGGGAGGGCAGAGAATCTGCCTCCAATGATATATCATTAAGTGCAAAAAAGCAGATGAAATTATATACCGTGTCATTCCTGCAGATGTAATTACATCACGTGTCATTCTTGCATATGAAATTAGGATAATGCTATGCGCACTTCCATCCCTAACAAATAAGCTGGACCAAAGTTCATTTTTCATGCCACCCCTCCTCTCCTCCACCACACAACTCCCCCCCCCCCCCCCCCCAAAAAAAAAAAATCACTCCATCCCACCCAATATGCTAGCCCAAAGTCCGTCTCAACTTTTAGGCCAACCCAGAATGGACTAAGTGAGGAATCGATCCAAATGACGTCACGCTAATGCCAACATGATGTTAGCCACGGGCTGAGATTTTTTTTTGCGTCTGGCACATAAGTAACATGTGAGTGTGGGCGCACGTTCTTGACAACAATCAGAGGGCGGGCTCCGCGCTGCAGGCGCACTAATGGGACGTGGGACATGGGCCACATGGTGCGGCGATGGTCGTTGGATTTCTAACTCCAAAAATTTTGAATTTCAAACTCAACGGCTAGTGACATGGCAAAATCTGGACCGTTCGATTCTCAGATCAACGGTCCAGGTTTTTTGGCCAAAAAACTTTAAAAAAATAAATAAAGAAAATGTCAGAAATCTTACCATTGGCCATGTGTCCAATTTTGGGCTGTTGGATTTTAATCTTTTTGAAATCCAACGGTCCAGATTAATTAACTTAATAAAAATTGTTTATAAATAAAGTAAAAATAAAACAAAAATTTATTATTTTTTTCTATAAATACCTAATCATCATCTTCACCTTACTCCACATTTCAATATTTTCAACACTTTGAACCAAAGCTTTCATATATTTTTGTGTGCAAAAAAAATGGCTACTTAGACAGTTATCGAAGATGTTACGTTGTGTGAATGCTAAGTTCAAGCTACTCATGATCCAATTACGGGTAATGAGATGTAGTTGCGAGAACTTTGGAGTATAATTAATAATATTTTAATTATTTTACAAATAAAATCCTTTTTTATTATTTTATAAAAAAATTAATAATATTTTAATACGAATTGACTAGACTCTTGCCCAACTTATTTTTTAGGGATGAGATGCACTTGACGAATTACTGTTCATTGCAGTCAATTACTATGCATTTGGGTGGAGTAAATAGACTTTGGGCCAGCTCATTTTTTAGAGGTGGATTTGCTTTAAGGAGACTAAAGTTTTTAAACCAAACTTGTAAACCAAATGATGTGATTGTTGATGATTGGATTATTACCTAAGTGTTGATAACGTGCTTATTTCTTTTTGGTAACACATCATTTGATTTGCATATTTAGTAACGTCTAATGTAAAAGTTTACTAGAATTCATTACTAGAAATTTCTCCTCTGAATTTTAATTGACCAATTTCTAGTAATGAATTGAGATGAGTAAGTAAATTTTATTTGAATTTGGGTCTTGAATTGAAATAGGTGAACCGAGACAATCATGAGAATCAAACCACAAGGAAGGTTAATTAAATGGCATCACAACTGAACATGTTGTTGAAATAGGTGGACCGGGATGATCATTGCAAATTATTATTAATACTCTTAAGGCTTTAATAAATATAAAAGCTCAATTTAGAAATAAAAATAATGTTTAAATAAATAAATAAAGCATTGACGTAGTTGGAGGATGGTGGCCGAATGAGAGTGTGAAGGTAGGGCTCATATGGGGTCAACACCCGTGCATGGGAGACGAAGGTGGATATCGACGTATCCATGGAGATAACAATGACGTATCTATGGAGAAACGAAACGGAATTCGATGGCAGATGGGAAATAGTGTTGTGAAGATTTCTTAAGATAGGTAGGTAGAATGGTTGGTTGCTCGGGGTATTCATGGTGGTTGGGGTGTGGGCTTGGGTCGGTTCGGGAATTGTGGTGCCTGGGATTAGAGTGGACATTGGAGCCTCAAGGAGGTATGAGGCGGGAGGCTTTCAATCTTTTTTGTTGTGAGTTGTTTTTCTAATTATTTTTTTTTTTTATGGAAAAATAAATTCATTCAAAGAGAGAAACTACGATTGCAACTGCTACCAGTACAATCGAAGAGAAATGCATTTTTAGCTGTAGTGGGTAAAGTCCTATCCCAAATAAAAGTATCATGAATAGAGCGCCCTACACTAGTAATGGCATCAACAAGAAAATTCGTCTCCCGAAAGACATGAGTCTAAGATATAGAAGAAAATGATCGTGCAAGCAATATGATGTCCTTGATAATAGTCTTCAATCGCCAAGGCGTTCTGCACTTGTTTAAAATAGAATCGATAACAAGCTTGGAATCCCCTTCAACACATATATCCTTAAAACCTTTGACTTTTGCAAACTTCAATGTATCACGTAAGGCAAGAGCTTCAGCAACAGATATAGTATTCTCTCCAAGATTGCGCGTCCCAGCAACAATAGGAGACCCATTATGATCTCTGATGACAAAACCTGCAGCTGCTTGAGATTCCACCACTGAACCATCAAAATTAATTTTGAGCCATGGCGCACGAGGGGCTTTCCACTTAATAATCTAAGAACATCTATGAACAACATCAAAATTATGAATTGATCTTGAGCTTTTATTAGTGTTGTAGTACTCACTACCAACTGTAGTAGCCACCATTGGAACTCTAGCAGGGTGGACCTTACAATTTCGAAAAATCAAATTGTTTCTATCATTCCATATTTGTCAACAAATAAGGAGAGCCTTACTAAGATCAGACCATTATGTCTCATCATTAGCATTCAATTGAGATAACCAATCAATTAAATCCAACCAGACACCAACAGGACTAGGGCTAGAGAATATTTGCCAAACTTCTTGAGCATAGATACATCTAACAAAAAGATGTTGTTGATCTTCTTCATCAGTATTACAAAAAGGACAAACATGATTAGTATTAGGAAAGAACTTATGCAATCTCACTCATGTTTGGAGTCTCCCACGGAAGAGAAGCCAACAATACATTTTTATCTTTTGAGGTATTAATAGTTTCCACATTTTATTCAACAAAACAGCTGAAGGTGTACTCTTTGGTGCTCAACTTGCAACCAAGTTGCAGACTTAACAGTGAATTCACCATTAGTAGACGGACCCCAAATAAACTCATATTGTCTTTCATGCAAAGGAAGAGGAATACTGCAAATCTTTCTTACAATATCAATGCCCAAAATACTTATTAATAAGGTCTTGTTTCAACTAAAGTTAGCAATAAAATCACAAACTCTCACATTCCAATAAATATTCACTCTTTAGGATTCAGGTAAGAGATGGAAAAGAAAGAAAGGAAAAACCCAGTTATGGGTCCAGAATTGAATATCTTTGCCATTTCCCACAATCCATCTCATACCCTTTAAAAGAATATCCCTAGAATTCAGGACACCTCTCCAAGCCTAAGAATGATGTTGTTTTGCTTTAGTATTAAACAAACTCTCGTTTCTTAAATATTTTTGCTTGACAATTTGAACCCACCAATTATCTTTATCAGTAATAACCTCTAAGCAAGTTTCGCTAAGGAAGCGTTATTAAAATGGTCAGCTCTTCTTATACCAAGACCACCCATAGATTTAGGAGTACAAACATCCTTCCAGGCCACGGGGGCCATTTTAGTTTCCTTACCCCAAAGAAAAATTCTACACTCTTTGTCCAAAGTATCAGCTATTTTATTGGCACACTAAATTAAACACACTGACCAAGTTGACTAAATTAAACACAAGGACCAAAACACAGACCATTTTTCTTATATCATATCTATGGGTGGAGCCACTAAGGGACCAGGGTGGTTCCCGTCCCATCTTGACCACTGTAAGAATTTTCTAGAAGTATCAAGCTTGCCGTTGTAAAACCATGAGGAAGAAGATGAGTGATCCTCGTGAAGAAGCTCAGTCGAACGACGTTATGTCTTACATCTTTCTAATAGTTTTGTAACTTGTTTGTTTTGTCTTTGTGGTTTAATGAAACTCAGGGATGAAATTTTAAAATTGACTTTAATGTTATTTGTTAAGCAACCTGATCAACTATTATTTGCAATCCTCCTCTTAGCCTTCCTACTTCAGTTAAACGATTCAAATCAAATTTCTTTGTATTTCTTCCTATAATTTCAAATTTTTTACTAGTTTCCATGCTCTCTACCTCCCACTTAGTTGTATTATTAACTTCTTTTGATTCTCTCTATTAAGTTTAATAGTTATTTTAATTAGTTTTATGAAGATTACTTCGATTTCATATGTTTTGAGTTCAAAATTTTTCTCAATACAATATGAAAGGTCCGCTCTCACAAAGAATTTTGACCCCGCCACTAATTCATATCCATCTCCTAAAATTTCCTATATTAAAACAAAATATTCAAGAAAAATGGAAATCAAGAAAAACCTAGCTAATGGTTGATGTAAAGTTGGAGAACAATTCTAAGTATAAAAGGGCACTCATGTCCAAGAAACACGAGAGATTCTTGTGTACAACTGGCGGTATACAAACTATACGACGATCCGCTTGTTTGTGTTGCCACACGAACACTTGGTCGGGCATTACAAGCACTATGTGCCGCACGGCTTTCATGCAAAACTAATACATTGGACATTTCTTCAGACAATGATCCGGTGACAACAAAGCACAGCTTGGAATGTCATGTTTGAAACGTTGGAATTCCCGCCGAACAATAACATTCACAGCTTAAACAAGCAGAAGCAACAGATATCACAAACAACAAAACATGGAAAGGTTGTTATAAGCAAACAATGAAGGCAAATGATCAGGCAGGGTTTCCGAACCCCCAAGTGCGAGGAGCGTATGGAGTTGTACGATGAGCAAAGAGCGAAAAGCTACTCCTACAAATCGAAAGAGTGGGATGAAAACGAAGACAAAGTGGGTTCCAAGATGGCGGAACTGATTAAGACCAAAGAGGAGCTCAAGAAAGCTAAAGAGAGCGCCCTGCAGGCGTGGATAGACTCCAGGCCTCTGACTGATGAGCTTGAACTGCTGAAATGCGGCCTTGAAATTGCTGAGAAACGATGTGACACGCCCAGTATCATCTCGGACCTTGAAGCACAGCTTGAGACGACAATCCAGAGCATCAAATCCAAAAAGGAGGAACAACACAAGGCGACGGGGATGGTCAATGAAATAAATCAGGCGTTGGATCAAACGCGTCAAGAGACGGAAAGGTTTAAGTGTGATGCAGATGAAGAATTACAAGCAAGATCAACATTGAAGCAAGCCCTTCATCTGAGGAGACAGACTCTGCGAACACTGCAATTTGGACTTGAAGCTGTACGAATAGAAAAAGAAGCGCTTGGTGCATCGAAAGCAGTAGCACTTAGATACATAAACCGTTCAAAAATGGAGAAAACCACCGTCCGCCTCACTCAGGAAGAGTACCATGCCTTGGCAAAAAGAGCTCAAGATGAAAATTCTCTTTCAGACTGGCGTGTTTTGGTTGCATCAGAACAGAAGCTCGCAACAGAGGCAAGCAGAAACAAAGCTTTGGAAAAATTGAACAGATTACTCTCGGAAAAATTTCAAGAGAAAGGGAAATTGAAGAAGAAAGTATAAGTGGAGATGGACACAATGGAGATCCAAGAATCAGGACGGGAGGCCAAGTGAACGCCAGAGAGAATACGCTCCCTCAAGCTCGGAACAAGGCAATGGCCAAGACAAATCAGAGAAACCGAAGATCTAGAAGCATCAACAATAAAAAGTTATCTGCAAACAACAAACCATCTGTATTGCAAAAAATAAGACAATTTTTTGTAAGAAAGATAAAAGGGCTGTTCGGATGATTTCGTAGGAATTCAGAGACTAGCAATCAAGTTTCGAAGAGCAATAAAGTCGTATGTGCTAGTCTAACAAAAGGTGAATGCAGTTGGAACAAAATTTGATTTAAGCTAGAGTATTCTGATTTTCCCTCTAGTCTTCTGCTAGTTGTCTTGGCCTTCCTACAGGGCCTGAAAAACGAGCAAGCTCCGTTAAAAGTCGAGCAAAGATATTAAGCTATTTCAAAATTGGGTTCTTTTTTAGAGCATTTCAAAATGGAGTTTAATCATTACTGTTACAACTACAAAAACCAACAAACGATTAGATCGATAAGATCATGAAAGAAAGTTAATAATCTTTCAGAAGGACATAGGTATCCCATCGGGAATACCACAAACATTAAGCGTTGCCTACAAGAGTCTGGGCATTTACAATATGACAAATGGGCAAAAGATTGATGGTACCTGATGTATCCTAGGGGCCAACTAAGAGTTTTAACAGAATAGCTTTAAACCAGTTGACAGTGCAGAAGGAATCAAAATTTATCCGTACTATGTGCAACCTCTGTGCATAGCATGAACAAACATTCAGCCCCAAAATTGGTTGATAACAAAGCAATACTGATAGAAACAAACTTACCATGTGACTGCTTAATCAGTGAAACATTCTGGAATATGCTTTCTTTTCTTGCTCGGACCTATTAGCAACCTGTGCAAATTTTTTACTTTCAAGTCTTATGGAAAAGGGAAGGAAACAAAGCAAGCATCCATTGTTTGGCAAAAAAATATAGAACACATGAAGCTCACTAACCTTCTTTTTAGCAACCAGAAGCTCTTTCTTAATTCCTCCTGAGCAAAATAAAATCATGAAAGGTCAGGAAGCTATCATTGATTGTATAATGTATAGTTGGTCTAGGAAATCAACTACGAAAGCATAGGGGTTTGATTATTCGCAGCAGCTAGTCACAAACCAACCACGGTCCAGTTAATGTCCATTGAGGTTCCCACAAAATCTGATTTGCCGTTTGGGAAAAAATATGCAACTTTACTTTAACTACAAATCTGAAAGACAATAACATATAAAGCACTTCAAGATTGGCACGGCAATAATGTAACAGCTCTCTGATCTCAGGAAGCCCAACCTTGGCAAACATTACCAATTAAAAGAAAGAATAACCTAGTTCATAAAAGAGCCTATTTTCCAGTATGAAGTTAGGTAAATTATGTAACACCACTGACCATCATTTGGTTCCAAATCCAGTGCCTTCTTGAAGCTTTCAACTGCAGCATCAATGTCATTGAGTGCCATATAGGTCTGCAGCCAGCAAGATGCACAAAAGTTAGATCATAAACAGCAGCCAGAGGGCATTATGAATTCTTGCCAATTAAAGATTATTACCTGGCCTTGGCGAAACAAAGCCTTCACATTATCTTCCCAATCACGCAATGCAAAGTCTGTGTCCAACAATGCTCCTTCTAGGTCTCCTAATTTCAACCTGCAAGCCTGAACAGAAAACTCACCTATCTATCAATTGGATAAAGGGAAATATCTTTCTCCTGAGTATAATCAAGTTAGTCTTCAGAGAAGTATTAACATTGAAAAGAGCGAGGCCCAACTGCTATATTCATAGTTGTCTTTTAGGTATCACTCATCTCACGGACTCTTCACAGAAACTCAGAAGCAACAGTACTTTTCATTTTGTCCAACAGGCTTAATTTAAGTATGATTAAGTTACTGTTATACAATTTCGATGTCAATCACTACCACTGATAAATGTACACTTTCGCCATAACGATAATTCAGCAAATTGTCATTTACCCTACTTAACTGAAATTGGTTTACTTATCCAGAGTCCCAGACAAGTAATTTTGTTTTCATTTCAAGAGGGTTTCCTATAGAATTTCATTTAAATTCAGGTGCTTTCAAATTTGATAAATGAAAAGTCTTACTGAGCTATTAGTAAGTATCTGGGACTTTGTCTTCCGCAAAGAGGAGCTCGTCTCTGTTTAATCACAAAGATAAACTCGTAAGATGATCAAAGAAAGTAAGGGACACCCTATAGTGCAAAGCAACTGGCTTACCTTCATCTATTTCTTCCAGCTCCCAGCATATATCCACGTAGCGCAAAGCCTTGCGATACTTTCGAAGGGCCATCTTGTAGTCTTGCTTCTGTATAAAGATTAAAAATCATGCTATTGGTATTAGTGAATGAAATGTATGACATGATTTACCATAGTTGTGATATTAAATTAGATACCTCATTACCTTGAACTGTTCGTTTCCAATGGCCTTAATAGTGTCCACAGCCGTGATCCACCAAGAAATGTCCTCTGGTTTTGTATCAAGATCAGCAGGCCAATCAGGATAAACATCACCATCTTTGAAGAAGTTACACACCCCATCATCTGCTCCCTCAGGAAGCTGCCCACAGTCCGCAATAACGACTTCCTGGATAGGCAAGTCTCCGTCCTTCGTGTTCACATGCTCAACTGAACGAACCACACCCATGCCCTTGATGACCTTCCCAAACGCAACATGCTTTCCATCAAGATGAGAAGTCCGAGTGGTGGTAATGAAAAACTGAGAGCCATTGGTGTCAGGGCCTTTATTAGCCATGGACAACATTCCTTTTCTCTCATGCTTTATATCAAAGTTTTCATCTTCAAACTTCAACCCGTAAATCGACTCTCCCCCACTGCCATTTCCAGCCGAAATGTCTCCACCTTGAATCATAAAGCCTTTGATAACGCGGTGGAAACAAACACCCTGCAACCAAATGCAATGCAATTCTTATTGCTAGTCAACCCCACTGACAAGATTGGACATTCTTGCAAATGCACACAGAAATTAGACAAAAAACCAGCAATTAAACAATGAAAAAACACAAAACCCAACAATGTAACGATGAGAAAACGAAAACCCAAAAACAAAAATTGAATCTTTTGAAGAGAGAGAGAGAGAGAGAGACCTTGTAGTGCAGAGGAGCACTGGTGTGGGGGGCAATGCCCAACTCACCAGTGCAGAGAGCTCTGAAATTCTCAGCTGTTTTGGGGACAATATCATTGTAGAGCTCCACCACTACTCTTCCTTCTAGCTCTCCTCCAATGGATATGTCGAAGTAGCACCTTGGCCTCCCCATTTGTGAATAACCCAGAAGAAACTTAACTTAAATAAAAAACTGGAAAAGGGGAATGAAAATCAAAACCCTAATCCCGCTTTTACAAAATTTGAACTGGTTAGAGCTCGGCGCAAGAGTCGGTGACTCAGTGAGACCAGGTCGCCTTCACAGTCCACAGCCGTCTACACTATGGGTGTGTAATGTCTCTGTCTCGTTGAGTCATCAGTGCCTGGTGCTAATGTGCGCCGGTGCGTGCGGTGCGTTTTGATTTGTCTGTATATGTTTGGAGGTTTTGAGGGCTGCTCGGGACGTGTCGGCAGGTTAAGATGTGGACTGACACTGACTCTGACAACGGGACGGTGTCTTGGTTGACAAGAGAGAAATAGGAGAAAAGATTTGGGTGCAACTCACTGTACAGATCAGATTCTACAGAACTGTCAACTAGTAGTGTGCTTCACGTTGACATGATTAGTTAGTCGGGTGGCAAATTGGCAATGGATCGTGTTCGGGTTTAATTGTATTGTGTTTAAGCTTAATCGTTTATATTTGCCTCGTATTTGTGTTAATTCTAGAGTTGAAATCGGTCATATTTTTATTGCTTTTTTGCTACATGGACGTCACATCAATAAATTTAACCTCATAGACAAATAAAAAAAAAGCCAAAATAAAGAGGAATTGAGTTTCAAAATGTAAAATAACGCTATTTTTGTTTTAGAAGAAAATTGATATTAAGTTTGAGTTTGGAAATTGCAAAAAATAAGCCAAAAAAAAACTGATTATACATTATTATATTGTAACAATTTAGCCCTTATCTTTTAGTAGCAGGCAGAAACACGCATGTTGCAAATTGTTTCATCATTAACACTTTGATTCGTCCAACTATTAAGTTAACCATTGTTAACTTTTAGCATGACACCTTGGTAACAATGATAAGCATAATTTTTTTTTTATTACCGACAAGGATATAGGCTGTAGCTTTCTCACTAGATACTAGTAAACATAGTTTTCTGACATTTTGGGGCACCACCATGGTCCATACATTTAAGACAAACACAAAACCTCTCAGTACTGTTTATTTTAACGAAAAATTATATTTTTACTCTAAAAAGTCAATCCTAGGTACTATCCACTTACAACACAGTTTTATCATTTTCATTAAAACTCAAAGTTTTCAAACTATTTTCATTAGTTTAGTCTTGTCTTGAAAGTGAAGCATTGAGCAAACCCAATATGATGCGTATGTGCACCTGCGAGTATATGGTTTGTTCAGCTTTGTAATTAATCAGCCGAAGTACATAATATAAAATTAAAGGATCGTTATAACATGGTTGGTCTTGAGATTTCTACGAGCCTGAGAGCAATAACAAAGAAAAACTCTAAAGTAGGGTAAACTTTGAGTAAAACCCTGCATCATGCTGAAACATTATTTATTACGATCAAGTTACATTATGAGTGTTATATGGTTATGAGATAAGGATATATTCCTGTAATATATAAGATTCTTTTAAGAAGTAGATATATATGATATGGGAAGCAAACCTGATCAGAGCACAACTACATCTCTAGCCCTTTGGCCGTGAACTTTGCAGTGATGTTTTCCGAGGGCTCAAAGGGGGATGGCAATCGTTCATTAGCTGCATCTTCACTTGCTGTTGTGCCATCTCTATGAGCCAAGGGTACTGGCCAATATATGGGCCTCCGCTCTAACAAATAACAAAAATAGAAGACTGTTGGAATCAATCATTAACACGCGCGCAGGAGACCGTTCATGCACAACAACTACTTGGGGTTACCATATGAACGAGCTTCTTACAAAATAAACAGCTGCTCTTGATACAAAAGTGATTATGCCAGTGCAAGAACCAGTGGATGGACAGGCTTCCCTAACCTTTGAATTGATTGTGCCAATCACCTCAAAACCTCTGGCTGAATTTTTGGGACCCGGCTTCTCTGCTCTCTTACTTCTCATACACTCTCATCTTTTTCTATTTAGTGCGGTCACGATTAAGTCACATCAATATTTTATATTGTTTTTTTCATAGAGATAATAAGACAAAAAGAAATAGTAATATAAAATGTTGACGTGGTTTAATCGTGACAGCACAAATAAGAGGGATGAGAATGCATAAGAAGTGGGAGGACAGAGAAGCCAGGTCCGAATTTTTGTTGGGTGCTGCATTTTCCTCCTCCTTAAAACTGCTGGTATCATCAAGTAGGCAATGATGCGTCACATCCCTACCTCCAACAAAATGGAACAAATCAGGTTTCCTGTCAATTTAATTTGGCTCATATAATAAACCACAACTAATAATCATATCATGCTTAAGCTTATACGAGTTCTTCTCTTTAAATAAGACGTTCGTTTTTTATTAAAGAACGCACCGATAATATAGTGTCAATAAATGGTTGATATTATTAGTAGATAACATGTCACTAGCAAAGCTTATGCATATTATTGATACATTATTTACATATTATATATCGCTAAAAAAAATTTTTCTTTAACAAAAAGATGTGTTGTATAGAGAAAACTTCTAATGCTTAATTAGACTAACATAACTATCATCGACTGCATCCGAGAAAAAACGTCTTGTATGATGATATTTTAGAGAGTCAAAAACTGCACCCGAGACTTAGACGTAAAGAATAAGAAATGATTAAAGTCAAATTAATATATTAACAAAGCAATCATGGAAGTGAAGCCTCAAAAGATGAGGAAGAAATCCTACGATCATTTGCAATAGCCGACCGAACTCCGGACTGAACAATCTTGGTCAGGGTGGGACATGTTGAATCATAGAACTTAAAAAATCAAGCTGACAGCAGGACACAAGATCAGGGCTTAAGTACAAGAGGGCAAAACAAGGTAATAACAAAGGAAAGTTTGTGCTCCATTTTCTGGACTACGAATAGATTAATTCTCTAATTAAGCTGTCACTAATACTTTGTGACAGTCCAAATTTTAGTGAGTAGTGAGTACTTGAGTCTAGAAGCAGTATATTTAATATTTATACAGGGTGTCAAAGACTGAAAGGAAAAGTGCATGAAATTGTGCGGATGCAGTTAATTATATTCTCTGGGGAGAGTGATTGTTAGATCCTATATCGTCCAGAGAGTGGATTCTCTATACCTTATATGTACATGCTCACCTCCATATAGCATGAGGTATTTTGGGAGCTCACTGGCTTCGGGTTCCATAGGAACTCTGAAGTTATGCAAGAAATGGGCCAAAGCATTCTCAGGATAGGTGATCTACTGGGAAGTTCTGCTTGCGTGAGTTCCCAGAAACAAAACTGTGAGGGCGTGGTCGAGGCCCAAAGAGGACAATATCGTGCTACGACGGAGTCGAGCTCATGATGTGACAGTGATAGAGGCACTAGATTTGTCTTTTATTCAGTTGTGTTTGGTAGAACTGCATTTGTGTTATTAATGGGATTAAGAAGGCATGCGGCTAGATTAGGACTATTTATATTGCTCTGAGTAGAGAGATTTTTCAGTTTGTCAGGAACACGATTAGGTATATTAAGTTTTATAGTAGAATAAGTGATTGGATACTTGAAAAAAAAATTTCAACCACTTGTATTATGAGACTTAGTGTACAAAGACGTGTTTCTGGCACACTAAAACATTTCTCCTCTAAGTGGTAAGATGATATATTTTAGTCGTAGAAAGTTTTTATACTCGAGTTAAATTTCTTAATGTTTTTTTCTCGACAAATGATATGATATTTACAAAAATACTTTCACAGCAAAGCAAATTATACACTAAACAAAGTTATGTCATTGCAATTTGCAATGAGGTATCAAATTCATGATATAACATATATCATATTAATTTATGTAAATCGAATCTAAAACATTATTCCACAAAGTAAAGACAATTACAACGACAATGAAATTTTGGGCTTCACGAAATCCGGAAGGCATGTTGCGACTCACTCTTCGGCCTAGAGATTTTTGGGTCCAAGTGTTGGCTATATTTACCTAGAGGGTTGGAGATAAGTATAGCGTTAGAGTAGGAGGGCATTTTATACGAAGGAAAATTTAAATGCCGAAAGTGGTGGCATTTATATACATAAATAATCTATAGAGAAATGGATCTATATGGAAGCAGCTAGCAGGAAGAAAAGGGGGGTGGACTTTGGAGATCAAGTACCACCAGCAATATGCAAGTGGGAATTTGGAATAGAATATAGGTCAGTTGGAAGAGGAACAGACTGATTGGAATGTGGAGTCCATGCCTGTGTTTGTGTATCCATGCCTGTGAGAGTGTTTTTTGATACATTTATATTTTTAAACCAAGGGGTGAGGGAATAAAAACTAGTTTCAAATTCGCTGTTAACAAGATTTGAACTTAAAACTTCTTACATACAAGTGGAGATGATCATTACGGTAATACTTATTGGCGCCTGTGAGTAAACATGTAACAGAGATACCTATTTATCTAATAAAGCTAGGGTTGAAGTTCCCTTGAGGCTTGAGCCATCATTTGCCGGGGGTGGAACCAAGCTAGGGTTGAAGTCCTTTTTAGTTACATTTGACATACGTACTCACATACATACGCTATGTACGTTCTTAATAATGTCTTATTTTATCTCAACTACGCACATATGTGACAGAAAAAGCCAATTCTATCAGGCACCTTAAAGACAATCAGTGAAGGTGAAAAATCCCGGACATGCAATCTAATAGCACTGTAATTAAGCTTCCAATTAGGCTTTGTGAAAACAAAGTTACCAGAGCAATAGTCACTCTATACTACAGTTTGGTGGTATTCATCTTTAGTTGAAAGTGAGAGGTTTTAGGTTCAAATCTCGTGGATAGCGAATTCGATACCAAATTAAGTTCCCCATTGTGTGACTTATCCGAACTTCCCCCTCCCCTCAGTGTAAAAAATCGTTGTACTCAAAAAGTTACCAGAGCAATAGTGCAAGACTCATTTGAACGTTACAAATAAGGAGAAACTTTTGTGAACATAGATTTGGATTACAATGATTTTTTTTTCAAGATTTTTTTTAATACAATGATATATTTTACACTAAGAGGATGGGAGAGTTTGGCTAAACCACACAATGGGCAACCTAATTTGGTATCAAATTCGATATCCACAATATTCGAACCTAAGACTTCTCACTTACAAATGAATAGAAATATCACCAGACCGTAATACTGAGTAGCTTTTTCAGAATTAATTAAAATGAAATCATGAAGAGAGTGCTAAATTTGGTCACTTCATAGATTCTTTCTTTTTACTTGACCAATATCTGCCGAGATTGAGCTAATCTTGCTTCTTTTTTTTTTTTTTTTTTCTTTTTGAAGGGAAAGCGTTGTATTGATTTAAAACAACTCATAAAGAGTTACATATGTCTTAGAGGAGGGGATCCTGAATAAGAATAGGAGGCTTCTCAATCCAACGAAATTATTGCTACTGTTCAAAGTAAACTTTGCTAGACAATGGACAGCCCCATTACATAAACAAGAAACATGAATAAAATTCACCATAAAGAAGGAGGGTGTCATCATCAACACATCATCCGCAATCAAACCTATTGACGAGGAGTCCGAATAGGTTCTATTAAGTGTTGCAATGGCCTTCCTAGAATCAAACCATAGAGCTAATCGTGCTTGATTTTATTCTTTTTTGGTTAATTAATTTGCTTGATATGGCTCTGTTAATTGTCTCCCAATCATTCCTAATTTCACTCTCTCACTAAGGTCAATTCCATCAACCGTCAAATAGCTCCACAAACCTTCATCGTCAACCTCCATAATGCCCTGATTTTATACCTTGATAGGCTTGATTTAAATTTTGTTCGTTTCATTTTTCTAGTGTATTTTGTCTGTTTAATTCATCGGTTTTGACCTAAATGAAATTATGAAAAGAATAATGTTAGGGAGATAACAAATTGGTAACAAGTCGTCAACACGTTTGAATTTTTTTTATGTGATTATGATTTTCTAGGGTTTTCTGATTCTTCGTGACACATAGTATTGAGTCCTTTTTCAGACTTTATTTGTCTCCACAACTAGTATGAAAATGGAATATGCTAATTAGCCATCAGGAGACAATGACATAACAGAAGGAAGGAAAGGGAAAAGAGAGAGACGCTGCTACACATAGCCCTCGCATCATCCCCTCACACTTCTCACTCACTTGCATCAACTCATGGACATGGCAAGCCAACCTTATTCAAGATCCTGACAAACGAAGATGGGGCTAACGACCCAAGCAAAATCGGTCATGATCCCGAATCCTAGATGTATGTTTATGTATGTTTTATTATCATGTTTCAATGTCTAAAATTTGCAGAGAACTATCCAAATTTCACAAACACAGACCAAGAACGCCAGCTAGTTTTGAGATGGTGATCATCATAGTCCAGAAGTAAACAATTTTCGCAATAAATTAAATCGAAAAACTAATATTAAGTCAAATCATAATATCATATAACCCTGACAATATAGTAACATCAAAATTGTAAACTGTAACAAAACACAGAAGATGATTCTTCTGTAGATGGCCAATGTAAAAGCACTAAATTACTAATACAACATAATTAAGTAAAATTTTTAGTCTCTCATGATTCATCTAACAGAGATTACAGAATAAGTAATCAAAGCAGGTCTCTGTGCAGTCATAAAAGCAGGAACAACTGCGCATCCAAACACAAAATTACATAAAAATTACAAATGACAAGCTAATTAACCCATAAAAAAAAAGACAAATATTTAACAAGAAATTAATTTGTTGATTACCAATCGTCGATGACTTTGTCCTGCTCATCTTCTTCTATCTGGAAATTGTTGGTGGAAGTATCTATGGCTTGTGCTGGTGGAGGCTCCATGTATGATCTGATCTCTCTGGCTTCTGAATATTCTCTACTGAGAAAAAAAGAGAGATGGAATAAAAGAAAATATAAATGTTAAAAATGGCTTCGAGTTTTGAATCACGTGAACGCACTTGTCGAATTTGCCATGGCTAACTCTGACTGCTTTGAAAACAATGAAGCATAATACAGGGGACGCTACTGCGCTTTTTATTAGACCCAATCCTGAGTAGACACGTGTTCAAATTTAATTAAAAAAAATCAAAATTTGAACACATGTTCATTCGGAATTGAGTGTAAGCATGATCTTCTGCTGAAATGTTTAGCAGCCAAGTCTTATTCATACATAGGACGATGGTGCCAAAACGGATTCGTCCTTTTCATAAATTTTGCAATAAATAAATTTTTAGAAAGAATCTTTACCGCGATTTATAATATAAAATTTCTGATCATAAGCGTAATAGCGTATGTGGAATTTGATATTTTGTACAATTCTTTGCTTCAACCGATATGTTAAATAAAAGAGAAAGAGAAATGTTAAGGATACTTTCTCAAAAGTGAAAGTCTCCATCATCTCATATTTTTTACATAATTACCGTGCCAACATTATAAAATATTGAGCAAAAAACATGAGGTGATGGAGAGTTTATGAAGAGTCTCACTTTAAGAGAGTCTTCTTAACATTTCTCTAAATAAAAATGTCATTCTATAATTTTTTTCATTTCTTTGTGTGGTTCAATTATTAGGACAACCAATCAAATACTTGACACACAACAACATTTATTATGAATTGCATCACACCTATTAAAAAGGGAGCATTTTTGCACACCACCCTAAACTTTGGTGTATGCTCACCATACACCTAATCATCTAACATGTGTCATTTCACTTAACCTTGGTTAATTTTTTTCAAAATTGAAAAAGTATCATTTACTGTGAGGTGTATGGTGAACATACACTATAGTTATAATGGTGAGCAAAATGCACCCATTAAAAAAATTATTAAATCAATTTGGCAGCTATTGTCATGAATGCCAGCAAAGAGCTTTGCTTTTAGTTGACTCAGCTCCATGTAAAAAACTGAAGGCTCGGTTGGACAGAGTTTTGCTGCCATTTAACTGGTGTATGAGCTTTGGTATCTTCTTTAAAGATGCTTTAAGAAAAAAAAATTCACAATGTTTTTCCTAAACAAATGATAGCGTTAGTTAGATAAATTGTTAATTGTTACGGGAGGAAGATTAGTGAAAATCCAACTTGTACCAGATGTATAAGTATAATTATTCTACACCTGCAATAAAGCGCCATGTGCAATTTCTTCACAATTTGTGGAGCCCAATGTTTTAAAAGACTCGCCTCAAGGCGCGCCTAGGCGGCCTTTGAGGTTGGGCAAGAGGATTGCCGCCTTTGTTTTGAGGGAGTGGGCGGAAGACATTGCTGGAGCCGCCTAGGCAGCGGAGGTGTGCCTTAGGGCGTTCAGGCATCTTTGTTTGGTTTTTTTTTTTTTTTTTAACTCCCAATACCTCTTCTTGCACTATTGTCTCTCTGCTTTTTTTTTTCTTTTTTTTTTTTTCTGATTTTTATTTTTTTATATATGTGTGCTATTTGTGTGCTTTGTTATATATGTGCTCATTGTGTTTTCATCCTCTATTATATATATATATATATATATATATGTATATGTATATATATGTGTATATATATTTATAATATATGTGTGTGCTCAGGGTGATTATTGATTAATAATTTTTTTTTATTTAATAATAATATATGTGTATGTTCAGTGCATATATTAAAAAATTTAAGTCCTGTGAGGCTTCACCTCATGCCTCACACCTCACACCTAAACCGACTATCCCTCAGACGCCTCGCCCATATTTCACGCTTTTAATACATTGGTGGAGGCAAGCATTATTTGTAGAAAAATACTAAAAATTAATGAGGAAAGTAAATTGTTTTGGAAACATGTAGTGGACCACTAGTGGAGTTGATAAGGTCATTTATCTGTGAAATTAAACAGTGATTCTGCGCATGCGTTGCACTACAAAAATGCATTTCAAAGATTTAACGTTTTGAGGTTTTTAGTTACATGTCGTTTTCATTGGTTAATGACTTGATTTTCTAGGCGAATATGACTTCAATTATTTTGTCACACTAGATATATATGCATCATACCAAAGAATTCTAATTTGGGGATATTTTATTATATTTTGGGGTATTTTATACTCCGAAAATTTTAACCATTAAATGTTTGGTTAAAGATATAATGACCAACTAGGGCCTTTCTAGTTTCAAGTGGGTAGGAAAGCCCTCCTTCCCCTTTAACATTATTTCATTTCACCGTACAAGGAACTGTATATTCTCTTTATCGTCGTTTAAATATCATTTTCGGAAAATATATTTGGATATTTTTTAATAATTAATATGAATCAAAGAAATCGACAGTTCATCATAAGAATGTTATTTATTACCATAGCCGTCTAATTATTATACATGTGAATGACTAAACGATCTTAACGTCGATTGAATTTTTACAAAAGTAACCTTTAGACGATGGTAAAAAAAACAAATTTGCAAAAACAGATATGGGAGTGCAAAACAAAAACACCAAGTCCAAAAATAATTTGATCCCTTTTGATATATAGACACCAGTTTTTGAGTCCACCAAATTGTACATGGAGGCGAAAGCGTTGCCTTGTTAAAAGACTTCTCCTGCTGAAGCTTTAAAATTAGTTAATTGTATACAAAAACGGCTGCCAAATTCCCAGGGCAAGATAAACTTCCACCATCGAAATGGATGATGGAAAGAACCTACAAAACACTCAATGGCTGCGAGTCACGCACCAGAATCACATCCAGTACGCCTACAATTCGGGAGCCGCTTCTCTGCAGAACTATGGACAGGAAGGCAGCTATCATTCCCCTTTCCACCAGCCGTTTGACAATGTTATTCGTTTCAGCATGGCGGTTGGCACAACACAGAGTGTCCACAGGAGGGATGTGGTATTTGAATTGCAAACTTTGCTGGAGATTAATCCAGGAAACGCCTCAAGGTTAACATGAGGGGAAGATCAGGAGGCCACTTTAAGTCGGAAGTTTCACACAAAAATGTTGGTCACTGGAGAAAAAGGCTGGACCCTCAGGCTTAGCAATCACCAAATCGGGAATGCACTGCTCTGCGATCCAAGTATGGCCGGAATCACCAGCGACTGATCAAATTTTCTTTCAAGTTCCATTGGACTCAGAGGTTTATCCTGTAGACATAACAAAAACTGTAAAAGAATAACTAAACTTTAATAAAACAAGTGGCATGGTGTTTATACTTACCGCGTAATTCACCCCATTAGATGCCTGGGCGGCAGGCGGGGCATCTTGCTGCTGTGAGTTCTTTAAGAATCGATGTTCTAATAACATGGCAGCAGTTGGCCTTTCTGCAGGATTTCTTTGGAAGCAGCATCTTAAGAAATCCTTACCCTCAGGTGACAATGTTTCAGGAATTGGTGGCGTATCCTTCATAACTTTAAACATGGCTGCAGCCTGGATTAATAGACAGGAGTTTAGAGAACTGTGGGAGGACTTAAAATGCAGTGCAGAAAATTATGTATGAAACTTGGACCCAAATATAAATTCACAATGTCAACTCGAAAGGCAGATGAGCAAAGCTAGACGGCAATGAAGAGGCGAAAAAGAAGTTAATGATTTTATCAAACTGTGTACGAACAGGTAAAAGCATGCCCTGCATCCCACTTAGTAGTCAGTACTACTATATCGACAAAAAACTACGGATTTGGACACACAAACAATGGATTAGAACCCTTCAAAGCACAAAATTGAAACAAGTTTCATGGTTGAATACAGAAAATGCATTATGTGCTTACCCCTTCGTACTCGCTCCAAGGAGGTTTTCCGGTGAACATTTCAATAATAGTGCAACCCAAGCTCCATATATCAACAGCAAGAGCCAGATCAGAGCTGCTATCTTTATGCATCACAGCTTGCATCAGCTGCAGGAAGAAAATTGTATCGGTATTAGAGAGCGCATAACCCCATAGGCTACCACATACTAATTAGCAAAAGATTACCTCTGGAGCCATCCAGTACGGGCTTCCCCTTAGAGAAAGATTACCTACGTGTCCCGAAAGCTACGCAACAAACAAATTGTAACTATGTGAGCCTAAAATCAGATGGTAAAGAATGAATACCAGCAAGTGATCTGAATCTATAACAATGTGTATGGTGTCTGTAATGATAGCAACATGAGCTGTGTGTAAAACCGCTCGATGACTAGATTAAGGAAACCATCTCAAAATCTCAAGATGACTTAGCCTATTACCTTGCCAAGGAGTAAAAAGAGCTACTAGCACCAAAAAAAAACAAAAAAAGAGTGAAGAATGAGAATCTAATGAAAGGGTGAAGAAAGAACCAGTACTCACATGTTTTGCCATTCCAAAGTCAGCTAGCTTGACAACTCCACATGAATCGACAAGCAAATTAGCCCCTTTGATGTCCCTATCAACAGAAAATGAAATAATATGCAGCCTAATTGACCCCAAGCACAATTCTATAGGCCCGTACACCAAAAACAATTCTTCCACATTTGACAATGATAAAAATTCGCATAGGTGAGCACTTCGTTATTATTAGATTAAGAATGCGATTGTACCTGTGTATTGTCTTTGTGCTGTGCAAGTAAGCCAACCCAGAGAGAATATGGCGAGTAAAATTACGAACAACAGCTTCTGTTATGGCTCCACAATGTTCATGGACATATTTGTTGATAGAACCAGGATGGACATACTCCAGATAGATGAAAAATCGATCATCAACCTGCATATACATGAAAGTATTTGGTGCTTTATTTTAGGCAACTCCAATGGACAAAAACTTGAGCCTGGATGCCTAAACACGCACGTAACAACGTTACTCACTATTTCGCTTCCATAGTACTGCACAATATTAGGATGCTTCAGCTGGCTGAGAACTTTGATTTCCTGATAAAGAAAAGTTTACAGAAAATAAGTAAGAAGCACAGTGACATCGTAACATATCACTCAATGCACCTGAGGAACCACCACACCATAGTCTACCTAATAGATTACATCAAAAATTTTGGTTGCCTACAAAAGTACTTTTAGTCTTCATGCATCTAGACTCTAAAATAATTTAAAGTTCGAGAAATTTGAACAACTGAAGGCTGCTATACTGCATGCTGAATCGCTGATATATTGATACTCCAGAGGTTCAACAGGTAGACTAAGGAAAAGTAACGTCAAACAGAAAAATCCTGGATAGCTAAATCTGTGGGGGTAGAGTCAACAAGCTTACATTATGTGTACATTCCTAGAACAAATTGAGAGTAAACGGATGATAACCTGCTGTAGCTGCTTTATACACTCTGCAGATTTTGGGTCCTCAGGAAATAACTCGACTTCTTTCATTGCACATAACGCTCCAGTTTCTCTGTTACAAACGAAAACCCTTCGTCAGCATTTAGCAAAGCAAATAGAAACTATGATCAGCTATTCATGGAACAGTATATACGTATTGGTAGCAACATAAACACTTCCGAACGTGCCACGTCCAATAAGCTTTCCCTTTTGCCATTGACCTTTGACTGGCTGGGACTCTGGTTTAGGTGTGAGTATAGCTTGTGGTGATGGTAGGCTAAGACTTGCTCCAGGAGGCAGAGGCAGTGGATGGACTTCAGCATAACCATTAACCTCACGCCGCACAGTGGGGGCTTCAAGTGGTAATCTTGGATGCAATGGCGATGTTGAACCTGGTGGGCTTCTGACATTTCGGCAGGGACTTCTATTGGATGGACTTTGTAGAGGGGAATTATCATTGCTCTGGATGGAGTATTCGGAGAAGGAAGGGGGTGGGTGCGCAGAAGGCACATCGCAAGTGGGCATCTCGGGGCCAGACCAGCCTTGATTTCCAACAGGAACAAGGTGTGGGAGCAGATCACCAGCACTGGGTCTGTGCGGGCTGAATGTAGGACTTGAGAAAGGACTAGCCGGAGCACTCCAAGTAGGTTTCGGAACATCAAGCCGGAAGTCGCTAGGATAGCTCCCTAAACCATTCCGACCTCGATTCCTCCTTGTAGACCTTGACCTAGGTTCAAAACAATGCTCGTTATTCTTTCGCGTTTCCCGGCGAGCGAACACACTGAAAATGCAAGACATACATGTCAATAAAGTCTCCTAGTTTAAGTATCATCATATGTGGTGCGTTCAAAGGCCAAAACTGCAACAAACAACGCAAAAATCTGACAAACATGGAAATGTTGGTGCATTCAAAATCATAATCTCCTATCTTTTTCGATTCCTACTTCAAGCATGTAATTAACATCCATTAATCATTTTAGTTCTCCAAATCCAGCAATAGAAAAAACAACTATGAAAAAAAATTATAATTTTCTCTTGTGAAGAAAAAACAAAATTTAATACTCAATGTGAAAATCAAACAAGAGACAGGGAGACTTTAACACCTCTGAATAGAAGTGTTGGAGGAGGTAGCGTCACGGGCCTTGGGAGAGGGCAATCGACAATCGCCGGAACTGCATCCGGAGCACCTCTCTCTCCGGCACCTCTCTTTGCATCGCGAATCCGCGGCCGATTCCGGCAATGGCAGCGGCTGAGGAGTCCCTGCCCCCGACGTAGTTTCCGGAAACGGCGAACTCGAACCCGAGCATTTATGATTATTGATGACTCCACCTCCTCCACCTTCCTGGTTTCCACCGCCAATACCGATCAAAAGCTGCTTCCTCTGTTGGGTAAGCTTCCTCCTCGACCGAAACATCCAGCCTCCCCCGTCATCGCTGGCCTTCTTTTTCGGCGACTCCCCTTTCGCCGACGAGGAGGAGGAAGAAGAAGAAGAAGAAGAGAAGGTAATGTTAGACAGCCAACGCATGGTGGAAACCATTCATGATCATCACAACCTGCGCAAACCCTAACAAGTTGGTGATTTGGATTCGACGACGACGAAGAAATTGAGGGGAAGGCCTAGGAGGTCCAGGAGAAGATCCATGAGAGGCCTGGATCTTCGTCGAGAGACCTGCAGGCCATGAATCAATTCCCCGAGACGGTGTCGTTAATTCGTTTTTTCTTCCCTTAATATTTTTTGTTTTTTTTTTGTTTAGAAAATGCGGAGGGCTTGAGAATTGAGAGGTTGATATTATTGTGCTCTGTTTTCTCTCTAACCATGTTTGAACAACGCGCGCGCTTGGTTTTTTCGTTTTCCTTGTGATCCGGCCGTTATTTCTGTTGTTTATATTTCAAATTTGTACTTTTGTTTATTTATTTATTTATTTATCTTAGATCAACTCCAATAATTGGATTAAAACTCTAAATAAGTTTTAAACTCAGCCAAAGCTTCTCAACTGAAAAAAGGTTTTGGGTTAAAACTTATTTTTGGGCCAATTTAACCCAAAAAATGAGCCAAGGTTAGTGGCTGGGACCCTATTGTTGGCTCTAGCTATCAGCCACTTGCAAAAGGACCAACGATTATTTTTTTTATCGGGCGGCTCATGTAGTTGGACGAACGGTGTAGATATCAAAATAAAATTTATAAATAAATGAATCCAACTGTTAAGATCGAATATGAGCAAAATCTAACGATATAAATGGAATCTTAATTAAAGTATCAAACTTATTAATGTGCAAAGTCCAAAACTATACCGTCAATTTAACACAAAGTTAGGCTATATGAATGCATATGCACGTCAAACTTACTTGAGTATTGTCTTTGAAATGCTTGATATTTTTGTGATTGATAGCATGGGAGACAAATTTAAACCAAAATAAGTAGAACTGAAAACATGACTAGTCTAAGTACTGATTTGGTACTGATGTGCTTTTATAAAAAATGGGTATAAAAAAAAGTTGAGCTCAAAAAGGTGTTTGGTAAATACTTAAAAACAATTTATTTTCACAGTTTTGGGTAAAAAAAAACTGAAAACGTGAAGCAGCAAAAATGAGCTTATTCTTGCAGCATAGCAGAAGCAGTTTTTTTTTTCAAAGCACAGTAATACCAAACTAGCCCTAAAACATTACAAACTCAGACATTTTGTTAGAAATTGTCAATTTTGCACTAAAAAGTCTTTGAGTTTGAATTTCTTTATTTCCTTCATTGTGTAGAGGAATTTGCTTGGGGATGAGGATCCTCTCTGTGGGGATCTTAGGGATCCTCATATCCTAGCCGTTCATCGTACACCGTACGGTCAGTTTTCGTTAGGTATTAGTTGTGTTTAATTTTAAATAAAAAAATTTAAATGATTTCTGACCGCACAATGTATAATGAATGACTAAGATATGAGGATCCTTAGAATCCCTACTATTTGAATCCGGATGGGATCCAAAAACAATTGGCCATCTTTCTGCCCTTTTGACTATTTTGTCTGTAGTCCCAAAACTTAATTAGTAAGTGGGAAATTCCTTTTGTTTCAAGGGGTCTTTTAATATGGGCCCGTCTAAATTTCTACGCATATTTTGAATGGAAATCACTAGTATTACGCTTTATAAGTGGGTCAGTAAGTAGGAAAGAGATCATCTTTGAAACTCTCTACCCAAAGCTCAGGGATCAAGTGATCCGGACCTTTGAAATTTGATCTAACGGCTAAAAATAGAGAAGTTAGTCAAAACTTTCAAAAGTTATAATAATTTTTGGTCGTTGGATCAAATTTCAAGGGCCCAGATCACTTGATCCTTGGGCTTTGAAGGAAGAAATCTGAAGATGATCTCTTTCCCAGTAAGTAGACCACACCTACACGTCAGATATTTATGTGTCCTTAATTTTCACACAAAGTACATCACGTGCCACTAAATTGTTTATGAAATGAGTTGTCAGATTCTAGATATTTGGGGGAGTTTATCTAAATCCTATACTAACGATTTCAAAAGGGAAAAAAACTTTCCGATTATGTATTGAGATTCAAATTTGAATGATTAAGTGTGTGATAGGGATGTCACTCAGTACTATGATTTGGTGGTATTCCTCTTCATTTGGAAGTGAGAGGTCTTAGGTTCGAATCTCATGGATGATGAATTCGATATCAAATTAGGTTGTACATTGCGTGGCTTAGCCGAACTCTAAAATCTACTTCAACCCTTGGAGTAAAACTCAAATTTTAGGTTCTAACCCTACCTTAACTTACTCCAACCCTTGGGCCAAATATGAGTTTTAACCCAAAACTTATTTTTGGGGCAAATTTAGCCTAGAATTTCCTTCGGGTTAATGGGTTGGTCCACCATATATGTGTATTTTTTTTAGTTTTATATTCATAAATTCATTTAATTCAACAGTTAAGATATAATATGATCAAATCTAATGATAAAAAAAAAGACCTAACGGTTTAAATTTAAATCTAATGGCTAAAATGATTAAAAAATATTTTTTAAGTGTTTCATATTCTTTCATGGTGTTCCGCAAGTTTCATGGTGTCAGTTTAGTGACTTTTTCATATTTAGCAGAATCTAAATATTTTTAGGTTAAAATGTTCATAAAATTAAATTAGGATAGTGTACATAATTTTTTTTTTTATAAAAATAATTACTTTAGAATCCTAAATTTATTCTTTAATAATCTCGGACGAAAAATTTAACCCATAAGGATTAGAGCAAAAAACTTGTTTCTGAGTTAAAAGCTTCATTTTCTTGGTTAAAAATTTTAGATTTTAACTCAAGGGTTGGAGATGGATAACCTTCTTATTTATCTATTAAATGACATGGATGCTTATGTGGATTTTAACTTTTTTTTTTTTGCTAGAAAAGAAAATCAATTAAATGTAAGAACCTCTAGTACAACTAGTTCCAGAAGCTTCAAACAGAAGAGCATTAGATGCTTCCACAGGGATACAAGCATCCCAAATATATATGAAGGTTATCCATCTTAATACCAACCGAAGCTAATGCATCCGCAAAAAAAGTTCGCTTTCCTAAACACATGGTTCCATCTAACTTCCTGAAACGAAGAGTCACACCACTTGATATCTTCTAAAATGGATCTTAAACTCCACGGAGTCTGGCACTTCCTTTGGACCACATTAATGATAAGCTTGGAATCGCCCTCAACAATAATATGGCTAAAATTTTTCCTTCTAGCCCAAATGATAGCTTCCCGAAGCGCCAAAGCCTCAGACACATTGATGGTATTTGATCTCAAATTTAAAGCTCCAACCAGAAGAAGGTTCCCCTGATCATTCCTAATAACAAAACCTAGATTTTAACTAATATTAAAGACAAAAATAAAACTGAGAAAACATAAAATTTGAAAAATTTAAAAAAAAATTTAAAAAAAAAAAAAACAAAGAAGAAACTTTAGCTGTAATCGTGTAAACAAGAAAGGAGGTCGGCAACCTCCGTCTTCCCCTTGCCGATAAGGTCTGCAACTTCCATGCCTTGGATTGATACAAAATTTTGATGCCTTCTACAACAAGTCAAGTTATTAGTCTCTTGAATCTTCATGAGGTAAGCAAAACAAAACGCTAAATTCTATATTATTGTCCATATATGTAGGGTTTGCAAAATCCTTTTAGTTTTGTCAGATCATGTTTTTGATGATTTTTCCACTCTTTTAGTTTTTCAAATCAAACAAACAACTATCACAATCAGTTCTGCTTGGTTAGCTAGCCAATCCCGAGGGCCCCATTTGGTGCCCTGGTATCTTTGTTGGCTAGTGAATTGGTCAGTCTATTCCATTCTTGAGCAAAACAAGTTCTGCAAATTCCGTATGCAAACTCCAATCCACCACTCATTATTGAGTCGTCCACCTGTAGCAAATTATTAATATCAAGGGAGAATCACGCAAAGAAGAGATTTCTTTTTTTTTTCTTTTTTTCCTTTTTTGTGATTATTAGGGTTGTATTTTATAACATGAAAAATGAAATTTCATCCAAGGCATTGCAGACCTCATAAGCAAAGATGAGATTCATTTTTTGTTATTTGGGTACAGTCTAATTATTTGTTTTCACGATTACAGCTAGGGTTTCTTCCCTTTTTTTTTTTTTTAATTTTATTTTGAATTTTCCAGATTCTATGTTTTTTCAGTTTTATTTTTATCTTAAATATTAGTTAAAATCCACATAAGCATCTGTGTCATTTAATGAATAAATAAGGGTTTTAAATAAGACCCTTGGATGTTATAAAATCTAAAGGCTACAAAGAAGTGCAAAAATATATATCCCTTGATCCTATGATTCCTGCAAATGATGAAACCAAATTGCAGCTGGTTTGGGTTCTGAATTGGTTTCACACCTGGCACAAAGGTGGGTTTGTTGATTTCTTGTTTACCTACAGGGTGAAAGGAAATCATGTACCTGGGAGCCATGCATAAATATCTATTTTGGTGGAACTTTTAAATTACGTATCCGTTTTGGGGGTGAGTTTTATAAATTTTGAGACTGGGAACTGTACTGTTTGCAAATCTGATTCAGGTTGAAGTTTTTGCAAACTAACTATAATTCAGGTTCAAACTGCAATTTGTTTTATGTTGTTCACAGGTAGTTTATGTGAATGTGGTCAGGTAACTTCAAATATAACAGGTTTCTTGATTGTTTAAGACTTTTGGTTGAATTTTAATGTTCTTCGTAATTGTTGCTAGGGAGACTAAATTTGTAAACAATATTTGCAAATTAAATGATCTATCACTAATAGGAAATGAGCACATTTATTAACGCTTAAGTAATTAATAATTCAATCATCAACTTCTATGGCATTTAATATTCAAGCAAGCTTTCTTAGGGAGACAGACGTTTTGGTTCCTTTGATTCCAGGCGCCGTTCATAGCCCTTGCCCAGCCCAACCATTCCATCATCGAGGTCAAACCTAGCAAGGGCTCTCTGTTAAAGCGATTTGTCTACAAATTTAGTTTTCCTAGCATTACTCAACTCTAAATAATGAACATGTTGCTTCAATGAAAAGGAAGAAGATCATGTGCCTATGGCTTTTTGAGATCAACGTTGATATGACTTTAATTTGTTGTTGGGCTTGTTGATTTTGAGGGACAGAGAGGAAGTCTGAGAGTCAGAGCTTTTCCATTTTTTATGGGTTCACTAGTTCTAGTGCTTGATGTGTACCCAGCACCAGCATATTATGTTTTGATTATTCTGGTTTTGGCGTTGTATGTGGGAGAGAATAGGGTGTGATCTAACTATCAAATTGAAGCTTAAGAGGAGAGGAAGAGTTTCACACCTCAAACGCGCCGTGTGGTGGTCAGAGTTGGCCGAAGTTTGGCTCAAAAGCCACGAGGCTCGCCAGGGAAGTTTGTTGGGTTTCCTGGGCTTCACAGAGACGAAATGAGAAAGACTCAACGTGGTGGACGTGGTGGTGTCATCTTCGCCATCATTTTCTCGATCTTGGGTGTATGGGTTCGGGGAGAGGGAGAGAGTGTGCGAGACAAAGAGAATGAGTGAGCTAAGAGAGAGTACTCCGGGGAGAGAGGAGAGAAAGAAAGAAGGAAAAGAGATGGGGGTGGGGAAGCTGCCACGTGGCAGCCAAAGAGAGAAGGAGAATTTGGAGAAAATCTAAAAAAGGAAAACCGGATTGGGTAAAGGATAGGGAAAAAAATCGTAATCTCATAATTCCTGTTAAAATGAAATTACAATTAATTGGGATGGGATTTCACAAGGCATGAAATGACACGCTCCATGTGTTTATTAGCCTTACGTTCGGCATGGAACGACATTCCACCCAATTGCATTTTATCTTGTTTTGTTTGTTCTTTTTTCCTTTTTATAAGACTTTGTCATGGCTAAATAAGTGGATCTTTACCACAGTGGTGGAAAAATGTGGCGTGAGTTTAATTCTTATCAGTGGCTAATCTAACATATCTAATCTAACAAAACCTATCGTTTGAGTGACAATAATCAATGCCTACATCATAGGAATGGTGCATTGTGCAAACCATAACTCTAATAAGCTGCAAAGCTCGAGTGAATGACAATAATACAAGTATGTGATAATCAATAAAAAGAAAGACCATCGATCACAATTTATAAACCTCAAATATAAGTTCGTAATTATGAAAACATAGTCAAGTCTCTAAAAACTCTGAAGGAGTTACCCAGAAATCCAACGACTTTTCCAATTCAAACCACAAAGATTCTCAAAAACTATCGTTCGTAAATACACTAAAGTCTAGGGCTAAAGGGACGCAGTTTGGCTGAAGCCTACATAAGTAACCAAACAGGAAGTGGACACCCATAGTGGATTAACCAAGCAAAGCCACCCCTGAGTAACCATGTAGGAAGTGACCCTCCATCGCGGATTAACCAAGCAGTGTCACTCATAGGAATCTGTTAGGCAGCGATCACCCATCGCGGATTGAGCAAACATGATCACCCCTAAGTATGTATGGCCATAAGGATCGCCCATCACGGATTAACCAAGAACTATCCATAGAAATAATGGTCCCCTATCGCGGATTGACCAAGCAGGACCATGGTCCCTTATCATGGATTAACCAAGCAAGACCAAGATAACCAAGTAGGTAGTGACCCCCATCGCAGATTAACCAAGCAGAGTCACACCTATGGAACTGTTAGGCAATGATCACTTATCGCGGATTAACCAAGCGCGATCCATAAATAGTATCGTCCCCTATCATGGATTAACCAAGCAAGACCATCCATGTACCACTGCTATATGGTGCAAACTTGGTGTCACTTAACCCTGTGACACTAGGCTACATAACGGTCCCCCTCAGTTTAACAAATATTTCAATATGCACTTCAAATCACTTTTTCACAAATATTTCCAATCCATGAATCAAATCGCATTTAATAAAAATAGATCGATGGCCAATTATAAAAATCACATTTTAACATAAAACACATTTATAAAACCAAATCATATCCACAAAGGATAATAATATAAGAAAACAGGGTAATAACCATATCACATATATTAAAGTCACTTACCGAGACAAGTCCACAAAGCCTCACTGAGTCTCTAGTAGTACTAATTTTAGTAATTCACATGGTTCGAGACATGTTGACCAAAAGCCAACTCTCAATCAACGATGAGGTCCACAACCCTCTATAATTCAATCTAGAAGATCTACACATTGGATTTCGGACCCATAACTTCCTAAGGGCCATATTCTGCTCATAGAACAACATACTAAAATCTCATCACAATCTGACAGTCGGATCTCCGCCAATTACTAGGGTTAGCGGTCAACAATTTATTTTACAAACTTAGAAATCCAATTCGGGAAGATCCATAGTCGGATTCCTAATTTGTCAATTCCTAATATCCTCAAACATTATGTTCTATAATACTTTAGAGTTTGGTGTCGATCCAACAGTCAGATTGTCGATTCATGCAATGATCAAGTGATGTATCGTAATGAAACTAAGTTCAAACAATCAACCATGTCATACAGATATCAATTCAAAGATAAAGATATCACTTTAGCATAAAATAACATCGGCGCCCACTGGCCACGAGCCACCGCACGCGCCACTACCGGTGGCGGTTTTTGGCGAACGGAAACCCAATTTTCCGACTAACTCTAAAAATTGTCAAATTTTACAGGCAAGTAGATTTCTATGAGAGGAACAACTTTTATACCTGGGCTGAAGTCCAATTCGGCGAGGAAACACCTAAAAGCCCCCTCGATCCGTCGGAGACCCTTGATTTGGGTGTTTTTTATTCGACTCCAAAACAGCTCCGCCGCTCCCAAACTTGTTTGGGCTTTTTTCCTGGGCTCAAGATGATTCTATAGGTGGTGGTGATCGAAGGAAATTGTTTCAAAATTGGAGGATCAACGGCAGGAACCCCCACACCCACCGATGCAGTTTTCCCGAATTCAAAGCCAAATATCTTTGATTTTGAGGTGTAATAGGATGAGGGATTGAGGGGGAGTGTTTTCCCGGTGGTTAGGTGACATGGTTCGCCGGAAAAACCAACGAAAAACCATTGGAATTGGTTGTGGAAAATGGGTCGAGTCACAGGTTCTCATTTGCCTATCCTCTTCCTCCCTTTTCTGATTGGCTGCCTCCTCCCCTTCCTCTCTCCTTTCTCTTATTTTCTTTTCATCTCAGTCGTCCAGTGTCACTTCCTTACTGCTCTAGAAAATCTGGAGATTTCTAAATGAGGGTCAAAATTACAAAAATGTCCCTAACTTTAAACGTTAATAACTCTTTCGTTAAAAATCCGTTTCGCGAACAGTTTGCGCCTACGTGTTCGTGTGATCGAGCTCTATTTGAAAATATAAATCGTGGCCTCGAAAGGTCTACAGATTTTAGATAATTAATTTCCAAACTTCAAACTTCGTAACTAGTTTAATTAAAATCTAAATTCAAATAAATTAATATAATTTCTTGAAAATTAATATAAAATCTCAATAATACGAATACGTAAATTATAACAGTGAAATCTAGGAGTGGGATTTCACAATTGATCCCTCAACTTTAATCTTCCTTAACTTTAATTCAATTGTAGCACTGGTCCCTCAACTAAAAATCTATTACCATTGGTCCCTCAACTTTAATCCAACTAGAGAAATTGTTCCTCAACTTTAATCCAACTGGAGAAATAGTCCCTCAATTTTAGCCCAATTGGAGCAATGGTCCCTCAACTTTAACCCAATTGTAGTAATGATCCTTCCAACATAACTCGTTTTGACAAATTTTTGACGAAGTTGACGAAAAACACACATAGCTACACGTTTTGATGAGTTGAGGGACCCCAATTGTAGTAATGGCCCTTCCAACATAACTTATATTGACAAAATTCTAATGACGTTGACAAAAAGAACCATAGCTACACATTTTGATAAGTTGAGGGACCAATAATAATAGATTTTTAGTTGAGGGATCATTGCTTCAATTTGATTAAAGTTGAGGAACCATTGCTACAATTTACTCTTTTAAAAAAGCTACCTTAAGCTAAAATCTTTCTTTAATAATTTCGAGCTAAAATTTTAAGCCAAAACTCTTGGAGGAGAAAAATTGTTTATGAGTTTGAACTTATTTCTAGGCTAAAAATTTATGTTTAACCCCAACCATTAGAGTTAGTCTTAGGGTTAAATACAAATAACTACCCAGCCTTTAGGGTTGATTCTAAATTTGCCTTAATCTTTTAAAATATTCTATGCAAAGGTTTTGAAAATTAAATATGTGTTAGGTCTCCAGTATTAATTAATTGACGACGTCCCCAACGTTAAATAACTGTGTGGACATATGTTGAAAATTCGAGCATCCCGTTTTATATATTTGTCCATGTCATTAATTACACTCTAGTGACCTAACAAATGTCAATTAGGTAATTATTTGTAATGTATTAAAATGTTGAGACTAATGGTTATATGAATATAGAATCATCCGCAATCTTTATTCGTCTCCAACAGATGATGTGGACGAGCATGAGGACAGTTAATTTACGGACCAACTGAAAAATGTAACTATAAATACATTAGAGATGATCTGGTGTAAATCTCATCGTCTTCTGTGATTAACCTATATTTTATTGTATAAAACTGTTTATTTTTTAATCATTATTTAACTATCATTTGCGGAAAAAAAATAATCAATTTGAAGATTGTTTCATCATTCGTATTGTACGTATTGGACAAACTGACCGTTTTAATGAGATTAATGTCCTTCAAGACTTGTTCATTTATTTTAAACGTACGGTTCATATGACTGACTAAACAATTATGTCAAGTTTTGTATAAAGTTTTATTATTTTTTGCGTAAAATTGTACTTTTAATTCACAAAAACGTCGATGAAGTGGCATATCTACCCTTAAAAGGTCAAGTACACCCTAATGCTAATAGCGAGTGATTAATTACTTGCCTAGGACGTGAACACTCCACGTTATAAAACAACACACACACTCTCTCTCTCTCTCTCTCTCTCTCTCTCTCGTTCCTTCCCCTTTTGTTGTCCTTTTATTTTGTAAGCTCTCTCTTTGTTGCTTCAAAAATTGGCGTAAAATAGCCTATTTTCAAATCTCAAGGGTCGAAATGATGAATATGATTGATGTGTAAACAATGTTTTTGATATAAATTTTGATCAATTCATTAACAGAATTGACTCTTCGCGTGGACGCTCTATTATTGCCTCCTATTCTTGAGGGGGTGATCAAGGTTGGGTGGCGATGCCCGCAAAAAATAAAGAATTGTTCACTCTTTTGGGGGCCTTTCGTACTCAAGGAAGAATTATTGAGCACACTAAAATCTAGTGGATGAGTTCAATCTTCATGAAAAGCCGGGTTTAAAATGATCAATTGGTTTTTATTTATGACGTTTGTTTGTGATTCAACAATTGGTTTTGATTCTGATCACTTCAACAATTGATTTTGATGATTTTAGT